TGGTACTGGTCTTGATTATTTAGCATATGCTATTGCAATAGAAGAAATTTCTAGGTATATTTAATTACATACAAATACATATACTTCTCATTTCCTATATCTATTATTTGAATGTCAATATTTTTGGTTTATTTTAGAGGTTGTGCATCAGCTGGTGTTATTATGAGCGTAAATAATTCTTTGTATCTTGGCCCAATTTATAAATTTGGAAATGATAAACAAAAAGAAGAGTATATCAGACCTTTTACAACTGGTGAAAAAATTGGATGTTTTGGTCTTAGTGAACCAGGTAAATAAAACATTAATTGTTTAATTATAAACACACAGTATGCTGTAGAGATTCTAGATGAGTCTAGTTCCTGTATAAATAAATGATTTATTATGTAGAAACAATCAAATTGTATGATTTATTTAATTTTATTGTTTAATGATTTAATCAGTACATAGATATGATTATTCATATAAAAATAAACAATAGGTAAAGAATCAGAATAATTATTTGGATCATATTTCGGGTCAATAGTTCAACCTTTTACAAAAAAATAGTAATTACTAATTACTAATATTAATTTTGATAAAACATGACCTTTAACAAATTATTTATCATTCTTGATTTAATAATTTAATATATAATTTTTTATCTTAAATTGGATGAGATTCAAATTACAATGTTCTTATTTTATCAAATACACAGGTTACAGAGCATAAATAGTGTAGTAGTAAAAAGGTTAAGAACCACTGGTGTGTTCAATACCAGAGGCATTTTTCTTTTTGATTGATGTAATGTGCAAAGTTTGAATAATATAATACTAAATTCAACTAAGTATGTCTGTGTATTCTATATTTAAAAATAAATGCAGTTATGAAGTAAAGTTGTATCTGTATTATATTGAGAAAGTATTTAAAGGCAGCAATCTATGTTGAAATCAATTTATTTATGAATAATAATGCTATGTAACTCAATAACTATTAACCTAGTAAAATATAATATAAACAATAATATATTAATATTTTATAATGAGGCTTTTTTTAGTTACTCACTAGATTACTTCAAAATCGTTATAATTGATTGCAATGTTAACAATTGATTATATTAAGTATTAAATTATCTTAGTTTTGTTCATGAGTAATTCAAGTGCCAAAATTTGTATTATTGATTATAGTTTGAAATGTTTATAATTTTTTAAGGTAATGGAAGTGATGCTGGAGCAGCTTCTACTACGGCAATTAAAAGTGGATCAAATTGGATTTTAAATGGCACTAAATCATGGATTACTAATGCTCACGAAGCCAAAGCATCAGTCGTATTTGCAACTACCGATAAAGCTAAAAAACACAAAGGGATTAGTGCTTTTTTAGTTAGAAGAGAATATCCAGGTAAAATAGTATTTTAAGCATAATATAGTTTTAGAGATTTATAAATGTATGGTTTGATAAATTTACATTTATTCTTAGGGTTTTCACTGGGTAAAAAAGAAGATAAACTTGGCATACGAGGTTCGTCTACCAGTAATTTAATATTTGAAGATTGTTCAATTCCAGAAGAAAACATCTTGGGTGAACCTGGTATGGGATTCAAAATTGCGATGATGACTTTGGGTAATTTTATTCATAAATATTTTATTTATTTTCTAAAATAAGTGTAATATTTTAGATGCCGGTCGCATTGGGATTGCTTCTCAGGCACTTGGAATAGCTCAAGCGTCTTTGGATGTTGCTGTTGAATATGCAACCAAGAGAATAGCATTTGGAGCTCCTATATCTAAACTGCAAAGTATTCAGGTGATTATTTGTTTTTAATTAAAGTTTAATTTGTTTATAGAATTAATGTTGTATTTTTAACTTCGCTGTATTTTATTATTTATTAATTGTGTATTTGAATATAAAAAAAAAACAATAAATATTTTTTTTTTAGAATAAAATTGCTGATATGTCCTTAAGAGTAGAAAGTGCAAGACTGTTGACATGGAGAGCAGCTGTTTTAAAAGACGAACACAAGCCATACACAAAGGTACATAGATTTAATTACATTTGATAGATTCGTCAATTTAATAATAACTTTTCCTCTGAAGGAAGCAGCTATGGCCAAATTAGCTGCATCCGAAGCAGCAACATTCAATGCACACCAGTGTATCCAAGTGTTGGGCGGTATGGGTTATGTTTCTGACATGCCTGCCGAACGGCACTATCGCGATGCTCGGATAACAGAGATTTATGAAGGAACATCTGAAATACAGAAGCTTGTAATAGCTGGAAATGTATTCAAAGAGTATAGCTCTTAATGAGTTATTAGCCACAAGATTAATACCGATATACTGTTACCAAATGATTTAAGGGTACTTTATACGAATCCATTGGTGATGTTTTGACTGAATTTTCCAAATTTAAGTTTGTATACAAATAGAAATGAATAGTGCATCTATTGAAAATACTCAAATATATATAAAATTGTTTCAACTCATTAGTGATTAATTGTTGGATCAATATTAAAACAAAACTCAATAGTATTTAAAATATTATTGCTCATATTTTTGTATTAAACATTTTTTTAATCAGTTTGAAAATAATATTGGTTATAATAAAATAATGCATCTATAAATTATATACTATCATCAATTTATGAAAAATTTGTTAATTGATGTTTGTGTGTATCTAATTAAAACAAAATAAATTATAATTTATTATTAAAAATATTATATTTTTTAAATACATTTGTTTGTTTAAATTTGTATGTACTATCCTTTTGTCAAATATAATACCTGATGTCAATAGGTTACTAATTATGTACCTGGGCATATTTCTAGTAGATAATTGTGGTACTTGCAAAAGTTTGACGACAAATTACTTCTGTTTATTAAGTAGTAATTAGTATGTACACATTTTTTCAGTATGTAATTGTACTTTAGAACAATAGTTTTTTAACTGTGGTCTGTGATGTTATTCGTGGTTCCAGTCATGGACAAATCACTCATAACATCAGTGTGCAATAATGTAATTGTTGGGCTTACATATTGTAGAAAAATGTAATAATAATAAAAAAGTTTATCTAAAGAAAACCCGGAAAGAGGTTGGTGAGCATTTCAACAATATTTTTGCTATTATTGCAGCAACAAGGATGCAAATGAAAATAACAAATAGCAATATGTTTTAGTGTACCTAATTATTATGATTTATTATGTAACTAGCATTTATTGTGACACTGACAAAATATATTAAATAACGAATCATATGTCTAATGTAAATAGTTCAATTTCGAGTAGATTATTAAATCTTGTACATAATATTCAGTAAACATAAGATTTTGTCATGTAGAAGTATAATGAAAAGAGGGCACAATTTCAATTTAAATACTTTTAAGTAGCAGTACATGAATGTACATAATACATTGGATCGGAATTAAAGTATTCTATTTATAATGACATCTATTTGTAGTTCTTGCCAAAATCTGCTCCTTTCTTAATGTTGGAAGCCAATTCGGGTAAGGCAGCCTTTAGTAACTCTTTTTCAAAATCTGACAGATTTCCCATGCCAAAGTTCTTTTCAATTCCATTTTTCTATAAAAGAATAAAAGTAAAAATTTATACACTGATGATGGTGGTACAAGAATAGCTCTGAATAGCAACAACAATGAAAATTATTCAACATAAGAGTATTGAGAAATGAATAAGTTGAGTCTGTTTATTCTAATATGATTGTAGTTTGATAAGCACAGAAAAATATGATTGTGTTAAAACTATGCATACATAAATATGCAATATTGCAATTGTGAAACTGTTATCTTAATTTGTACACAATCATGAGGGTCATGTAGGTACTCAACAAAAAAACAATTGTTTGATATCCATTTGAATTGCACTTAATCAAATTAAATTAAATATTAATCACTGTTCATAAAATATACATATTGCCTTGGATGATAAATTCCTATGAAAATTGTTGAGAATGAAATATAATAAATAATAGTACAAGTACAAAATTACCCCAATAAGAACTGGTGTACTGAAGTATGGCGAGTCGGTCACTGTTGATTCAACGAATGAGCATTCCACGACATTTGATTCACCAAGAATCGCTCGACACATAGAAGTTGTAAATTTGGCGCCTGCATATGCCATAGATAGAGTTGCTGAACCAGCTCCCGCCTTAGCTTGTACAACTTCAGTACCGGCTTCCTAAAATTAAAATAAATGTAATGAATGTTAATTTGAAAAATTGTGAAAAAAAACAAACAGTAAGTCGTATTAAAAAGAAAAAAACCATCTCTCACTTGAATACGTTTGGTAAGCTTCACAAGCACATCATGATCAAATTTTACTTGAGGTGTACATTGAGATATTAAGGGAATTATTGTTGGCCCAGAATGTCCACCGATTACAGGAACATTGACATCAGTAGCATTAAGACACTTAAAAAGTAGGTATTATTTATTAACTATGTAATACATCAGGTATTTATTTTAAATTATTCCAACAAAAAATATTTACTTTAAGTTCAGCAATGAATCTGTTAGACCGAACAATATCTAAAGTAGTAACACCAAATAACCTTTTTGGATCATAAACATTAAGCTTCTTCAATATTTCTGCAGCAGCTGGTACAGCACTGTTGACCTAAATAGAACAAACAAATATACATATTAAATAAAATATATATTTAACTCACTGTTACTAATGCTGGGATTAACAAAATCAAATATAAATGAATAATTAACTAAAAAAAAGCAGCAATGTAAATATAGATAGTAATTGGATATTGCAGGTAGAGGTAGAGTGATGCAACATAAGAATCAAATTTAAATGAGAAAATATTGGTAAGATGTAGAGTACAGAATTAAACATATACAATTATATTTTATGATATAAAATACTTCCCAACTTTACTGCACATTATGATTGAGATTATAATATTTGGGGTAAAAATTAAACAATATATTATGCTTAGTATTTACTAATTTAATTTAATTATAAATAAGAAAAAGTTTTTTTTTTAACATTAAACATTACATATTAATTATTATTTATATTTTTAACATGACTGAAATGATAAATTAAATTGTATGTATACACAGTGAATAGTTTATCAAGTCTTATTGAGACACTGGACATTATAACTTAAATAAAGATAGACAATAATATAGAATACTATCTACTAACTACAAAGCAAACAAAATATATTTATAATAATTATAAATACATTAAAATCTAGAACAAAGAACTAAACCACAATTGTATTTAAATATCATATTATGAATTATGAATATGCAACCTGGAGATAAACTGGATCAGTAGCTAGTAATGCTACAAGAGTGTTGGTTGATTTTCATTATAAATTAATAAAATAATTATAATTTTTTTGAAGTGTTTTACGCCTTTAAGTTTGGAACTAGTTAAATTGCTACAAACCAATCAAAGTAACAATAATGCCTTTCGATTGGTAAGTATTTATTTATAAAAAGCATTTAAGAGAACAATGTACGTTTAAATTCTAAACCAAGAGAAGATTTTTCTCTATAAATTACTAAGTTTGTTAAGAAGACGCCAAATATGTTGTCCCTGTCTACATACAGAAAAACTTCATTTAACAGAATCATTTTTGTGTTGTTAGTCTTAATATTAGATTGAATTGACCTATAATCAGACTTGAAGGTAATAATATTATTAAGGTTATTGACTTTTGTTGATATTTAAATTTTAAACAAGTTGTGATAATATAAAAATTGTAATGTTTTACATAGGTTTGACACAATTTAAAATTAAACTATCAATAACAGATAATATTATTAACTTTAAGTTTAATAATAGGTAAATTATTCATGACAATATTAAATTTTTTTTTTTTTTGTTTTTTTATTGAATATATACAATCTGTAAATTAGTTTTACAATAAGAATATGAGCTAAAATAAGTAAGAAGACATGATTTGCTTGATAAAAGAAGTAACCCAGCGGCTACACTTTTCATTGATTTATTTATGTTAGATATATATGTATATTATATATATACATATGTATGTATTTTTTTTTTTTTTTTTGAGATTAAAAGTTTAGGTCACGGCACCATCTTCTCTTAAGCCTTCTTTGGGGATTCCCGGGTATTGTTTGTGAGTTTAGTGCTGAGATTAGCGGGTTGGGGTGGTTTTCTAGTCGTAACCTATAACGTTTGTGTATAGTTGATGCCATTTCTGAGACAGTTTTAATGTTTAGGTCTGTGTGGAGTGTGTGGTTGGATACGTAAAAGGGGGCCCTAGTTATCATGCGTAAGGTGATCGATTGAAATCTTTGTATCATGTTTAAATTTGATAATTTAGCCGCACCCCACAGTTGTACGCCATAAGTCCATATCGGCATGAGAAGTTGTTTATAAATAAGCAGTTTGGAATTGAGTCTGAGTTTGGAGTGATTACCTATCAAATAGTGTAGTGATTTCCTTCTGAGTTTAAGAGTATTACGTTTGATTTTAATATGTTCTGTCCAGGTGAGTCGCTTGTCTAGGGTTAGACCTAGGTAACGGATGTTGGAGACTGTTGGTATTGTTTGATTGTTTAGATTAACAGAAGGTATTTCACCCGGTCTTAAGGAAAAAGTAATATGTGATGACTTATCTTTGTTAATTTTAACTTTCCATTTAGTATACCAGGAAGATATATTAAATTTAATGGCATAATTTTACTGAATTAGCTAAGTTTTACACTGTTTACAACAAATGTAAGACAAAAACATAATTATAGTAATTACATATTAATTAGAATACACTAGCTGTTTGCTTAAGCAAAAGTACTTTGGAATTTGCACATATCAATTAATGTTATAGTATATTTTAATGTTTGAACAATACACAATAAATTATATTATTAATACATAAGAATTAACATTATATATCTAATTCATGTCTAATTTAGTGACTTTTCTAAATCATCACCATTGGCAAGTATTTACCAACAAAATATACTTGAAGATTACGACTATGATAGTGACTACACAAATAGATTGTTGTTCTTGGGTATAAAATCATATTTTAAAGTAAGTATTCCAAGTCAACATAAATTAATAAAGGCAAATAAAATAGTAATCAAACGTTGACTATAGATTCTCAAAGTGAAAAAAGTAAACAATCCTCAACTTTATGGTATGTATTTACTATGGAAAGACGAATTAAAAGCTGGCGATAGTTATAAATTGAAGGAAAGACAACTATATCACGCAACTTCACCAACAAATGCTTTGAGTATTTCACAAAATAATATTGACTGGCGTAAGACCTATAGGTCGAGATTTGGAATTGGTGCTTGCTTTTCAACATGTCCAAAATATGCACACAGACATTCAAGTTCAGATGGAGGTTATATCAAATTCATAACATATCAGATGGATTTTAAACTTTAATTCACAAATATTTTTACAGCATTTATGATTTGCAAAGTGCTTACAAAGAAAATAGAAGTGGTAGATGTCAACTATGACTTAAATGTACCGACAAAATGTGAACATGATACTTCTTTGAGTAATACAGGTAAAGTTTATGTTAAATATGATGACAATACATTTTACCCAGAGTTTATAGTTTATTATCGTTAGTAATGTGAATGTAATGCAACGATTTTTTATAAATTTATTGAAAAAAATAGAACATTAATATTTTTTAATACATAAATACAAAACAACATTTTTGAAAACTTATCAAAATGTTAACCCGACTAGAAGAAAGGTCAAAAAAGAGATTCTAAGTTAAATATTTAGGTAAATATTAACAATAGTTTTTGTAAATTAACTGTTATGTTGAATATACTTAAATTAAAAAATAAAACATTAAATGTATTACTTAATCAAAATGTTATCATTCTAATTTATTCTATACACTTTGTCTTAATTATTATAAAAAGAAATTTAAATGATATTTAACAAGGTTGAACAAAGTTTAAACAACCTATAAACATTTGGTTTTATCTATTTATCTAGTAAAAACTTATTATTTTATTTTGTTTGATTGATTTAAACAGACCTAATCTATACTTATTATTTTTTTAAACTCAAAACTAAGCTATTATTAAAATTAGAATTAAAACCGAACACCAAATTACCATTTTGTTATTTGCATTAATACCTAATACACTATGTAACACATGCTTACATACACTAACAGATTTTATCATGTTATTCTATGCATTTACCTGAGAGAACAAGTCACAGATAGTGTTTCTTACTTGTTTGATAAAAACATAGTTTTGATCTTTAGGTTTTTATGATCAAAATTGGTAAAACTAAAAGTATAATGATAGTGGTCCAGCTTTAATTAATTAATACAATAATGAACCACTATGTTATTTATTTTATATACTAACATACTAATAACCAGGGTTCAGGACTTAAAGCAATAATAATAATCAAAATCAGCGCAGAAAAAAGCAATAAAATACTTCATTATAAGCACTTTAAAAATATTAAATTAAGCAAAAAAAAAAAAGACAAAAATTATCGACACAATTTTTTTAAAATATATTTAAGTTTATTATTTATACTTAGAAGCATAAAAAACTAAAACTTCTCAATTATACTTCTTAGATATTTCAGAAAAATGTTCTAATAACTGAAAAAAATTAGTTAATTTGACCGAATTGTAGATAAGAGAGCAAATACAAGTTCCGGTATTTATTACTAGGAAATATGATGAAAAGGTGAAAAATTATTTTTAATTCTAGGTTTACTATGAATGAAAAAAAAAAATACATAGAAATTAACTAAAATGCCTAGGTTTTTGTCAGTAGCATCTATCTATATCTAGGCTAGGACATTTATGTCAGTAGAGATATACCTAAAAGTAAAAATAATCGGAAGAACTGGGAATGAGCATTTTTCATAAAAATCGTTGAAAAAAGCACTTTTAAATTTCATAATTAAACATGTTGTAACATGACATACACCTCCATACCATTCTACTATATTTTATGTCAAACCATAAAAATAAACAAATTCTTTAAGTCCCAAACCCTCCTAATAACCTATGAATATTAAATTTTATTCTAAGCATGGGTCTAAGATATTTATAATTAATAATTCAACAAGACTAGCCCTTTTACAGTAAAAAATATGGTATACTGAGGTAACTTAATACAAGATAACACAACAACACTGATTAAATAATACTCTACATATACGTACTAATACAGTATACCACATACTAAGTTTATGTAATCAAATATTTGAGATATATATTACAGTTCACAGTATTAAAAAAATGTTAAAAAAAAATTATTTAATTACATTCAAAACAGTAAGTTAAAAACTGAAAAAAAATTATTACTTTAAATCATAAAACAAATATTTACAAGTTTTTAGGTATTAGTTTATTACTTTACAATAAACTTAAGCATTCTCTAAATTAAACAACTAGTTAAATTATAAGTTATGTATGTACTTACTGGATTTGATATAATTCCAACAAGCGCATGAGGACTGACTTGTCCAATAACTTTAATAATATCGCATACAATTGAAATATTTGTATTGAATAAATCATCTCGGGTCATACCAGGTTTACGTGGAATTCCCGCTGGGATAATAACTACATCAGTATCAGCTACTGCATCCTAAAAAAGGTAAATACATAAAATATAATTAAAATAAAATATTAAATTCAGTAGGTATTTTAATATTAATAGTTAAAAATAAATTATACCAATTTTAAAGATTGACACCTTATTACCTAACACAATTTAGGAAGTAAAAAAATTGGCAATCAAAACTTTACCTTGAAACAAATAATGATTTATTTTTAGAATTTATAAAATTTGTTACTGCCAAGAAACTAACATATTGGCAATAATGTAAGCAAAAACTAAGGACAATGTGTTATTTATAAATTATACATATAAACAATCTTTCACTAACACAATTTTTCAATAACTATAGTATTGTACGATAAATTAGTAGGTAATTAAAAAATGAGGTACATAAAATGTGGAATAAGACATTTTGTGCATATTATATGCATAAAAATAATGGGCAATAAAATATAGTATTGATACAATTTTAAAGACTTTAGTACCTATTAACTAAAATGGTTATTCCGAAGACTTAAGGTACGGTTTTCGAGCTGTAGCTAGTCATTGCGGCAGGCCACAGCAACTGCTCTGCTATGAAACAGCCTTATAATTGTAAAATTGTAGTGGCCAACAAATGGTCTAAGAGCAGTATAAGTTTCGACCGACTGCTAAGGCCTTTATTTTAAAATGAAGGAATAAATTAGGACTTCAGTAAAGAAACAACAAGATAAATTTTAAATTACTTTATATAATTATTCAAATGATTGCAATTGTTTTTTATGAAACGTCAGATAATTTTGAAAATCGTAATAACAATTGACTATCATACGAATAGTACCTACCTATAAATTAAAACATTAGCTATTATAAACTATTATTTTGTTGGTTAATATATTTGAACATATCTTTACGTAAAGTAAAGTGATGCAATATTATCAGCAGGGCTATCCACAGTTTATAAAGGTCATATTTAATTAGGGGTATAGTTTTATAAATTTCAATTAATTTTAAGACTTAGAACTTGGTTAGATACAGATCAGCTTTCAATCAAAATAAAATTTAAATCAATGCTGATAAAATGATCGAATTTTGTATATTTGATATTTTATGACTTTATGAGTGAGTTATTATGGATGTTATTATTGTTATTAAAAGTGCATATTTTACAAATATATGTCTGCAAAATGCACTTTTTTACTTGTTTTTTAAATTATATAATTTCATGACTGCACCTAAGAATACTTATTAGTAATTGGGACATAAGATACTTAATTATCTATTAAATACCAATTAATTCATACGAATGCATACTTTTAAGCTGTCCAAACCGACATGACTGGTTACATTTGAATTCGTATCCATATGACTCAGATCAGCAACCACACCTGGAGTTACTGGAGCAATATCATAAATAGCTAAATCCGTGATGAGTGGACTTTGTTTTAACAACAACGACAAGGGTTGACCAATGCCGCCTGAACCTCCACATACTGTTACTTTTAAACCTTTCTGTAAATAAATACAAATACAAATAGTTAAGTTTATTAAAATAAACAGTATAGTACAATAAATAAATAAAAAATAAATATAAACCACATGTCTGAAATAAAGTATTTATCGAGATTATAAAAATATATTAAGCGCTAACATATTTTCTCTGCACAATACATATTTTAAAGTACCAAGGTAGTACCAAGGAAGTACCTAAGTTAAAGTTAATTCAAAATGATTTGGTTCAGTCGTGGTCAATATTGTGCACCCAATTAACAGGGTAGAAATATAAAAAAAATATTAATGTACCAAATATAAAGAATAAAACATCATTTAAAATTGATAATGAAATTGCTAACACAATAATATAATAACTAAATTATTTCAAATATGTAGTGGGTAAAGTTATAAAAAATGTATTTTATTACCTTTGAAGAATACTGTCTAGTTCCTTGGTTGACGATATTCTTAAATACTTTGGAAAACATTTTTAACCGTAAGACGGAATTCAAAAGTAATAATAAACAAATAAAATTAATAAAAATAGGTAACTGCGAGTAGAACTAGTGTTGTAACTTGAAGGTAGTTTTGGTAATAATTAGTAATGTTACGTCCGTCGTTCGGTTATAATATTTTGAGGTAGACTTGAACGTGAGTACGTCAGTGGTCAGACGGCACAGAAACGAGAAAGATGGAATTATTATATAGAAAAATGGTCGGCGATATTTTCCTTATCAGTAATGACGTTTGACGTGTGATGACATAATCTCCGTACAACTACTGCTCTCTAGTAACAAGTTCACTAACTGTTAACACACTAATATTTTTTTTTAGTTTGGTGATGTGAGCATGGAGTATGGACTCAAAGCGGCAAGGTGGATTTATAAACTTAAGGTGGATCGCACCTTTTCGTGTGTGTAGAGTTGAATAATTGAATGACCAACGTTTTGTTACCTTCGTATTAAATATACGGAACACTACACACGAAACGACGAAGTATGATTCCACCTTGCAATCTTGTATAGTATATAGATCTGTAAAATATGCATAATATATTGTATGTATCAAAGGATGTGACTATGTGAGGATGTCGTTTGTCGGCGCACTTTTCGTTGACCGACTCGCAACATACCAAATTTACATTCAGCTCGCAGAACCAAGACTATGTTGTTAGTTGTTACTTTAAGTGTTAGAGTGAATTCACCTAATAAATAAAAAATAGATGAACAATTATCACACTTTAAGTTAAGAACATTACCTGTGTCGCTTACGTTAGGTAGCTATTTTATGGTATTTTAATTTTGATGTAAGTTATGGGCATATCAATTATTACAATTTAAAAATGCTTATAAATTGCATAAATATAGGTACCTACAGTAGTGAAATTGTTGTACTGAGTATCAATATTATGTAATGGAAAAATTGGTTCAGATTCATTTTATCCACATCTATCAAATAATCAATTACTCCGGCCGGCCAGTCGTGGAATGTGACTAAAAAGTAAGCATCATTAACTAGCACGAGTACCACTATAGTACAACTACTACCCATAGGTCAATCAATCAATTCACCTAAAAAAATATTACGGATGCTTGATGCAGTACAAAAACCATGGACATAATATTATGTATATGACAAAAACCTTCTGCTGCACCCGTTTCCACGCCTATGGGTACAAGTCGTGGTGTCGTACAACCATTGATTTTTATTCTTATCACTCCTTGAGAATTGGGGTATCACCTATTATAGTCTGCTGTGAGTACAAGTACAAGTATTATCGATCACAAATTTCGAATTACAAACCTAGGGTGGATATCTGGATATGTATAATATATGATATTATATTGGTAGGTTAATCATATTTTTTCATGTATCGAATTTATAACAACCTACTCCGACAAAATATATTGTTTTGGATTATTATATAATATAGACTACCTAATACCTATAGGCTATAGTCATATAGATAAAGGTACAATATACATAAAATATTATGTTAAGCTTAACTGCTTTATATTCATGCTTAATACCCATGGTCATTGCCAAACATAATATTATGTAGGCATCTAGGTAATATTATTAAACTGCACAAAAAGTGTTTTAGACTTATTTTTACTTACCTACGTAATGCCTACTTAATGCAATTGAAATGTAGAAAGAATACTTAAATTTGCAGTGTCGGGAAGTGGTAATTCAATAACATTTAAAAATATAATTTAATTATTCATAAATCAGGTACTTTTTTTATTTGGTCAAATTATGTAATTACTAGGGCAGAGGACTTGTAGCTTTAAAAAATCAACAAATATGCACTAAAATGTACAAAATATGCATTAAAAAATAAGTTTATTTGTATGAATATATTTTATTTAAATTTTGATGTCTGCGACCGACGTCCCCGTGGCCCATATTGAAAATATCTTATTCAGTTAAGAATATCTGCACGTAATAAAATTAATAACCAGAAAATAAATCTAATCGGCAATCCACGAGACGTGTATCTAGGAAAAACATTCATGTGGGAACAGTCAACCACCATACTATTAAAATGATCAAAATTTAAAATAATTTTAAATTCAACATTATTTTGGTTGTATATTAAATATATAAATTAAATAAAAATGTCGATGGTAAAAATATTGATAAAATGATAAATTATTGAAAATATGCATCTTAAAGTATAGGATCGAAGAAATATGCACTAAAACCAAAAAAAACTCGAAATATGCATTTGTATGTGAAATAAAATTTCAAAACTAGCTTTGTTTAAGAATGAAACGTATTTGTTTCTTACTCTTCTAAACCTGCAAAACAAATATGCAAATGCTACAAGTCCTCTGCCCTAGTAATCACTAATTACTATTGAGTTAAAAGTAAAAGTGGGCAGGAGGTATCGTTCTGCTGTAGGTACACTAAGTGTTATGTCACTGTAATGAGTGTGTTAAATTTGAGTTTAATTATATAAAATCATTGTACACGAAAAACGATTCTGAGTAAAAACGGTCGGTCAGCCTATATTATAAAATATTATTTAAATACTAAAAAAAAACAAAAATTGCTATTTTTTGTTATTTAAATATATTTCATCTAAATTTGAACTTAAATTATCTATTAAAAAAGTCTGTGTTTACATAATTTTTAGATTTTTTGATCACCCAAAAACAGACCGTATTACCTATATAGTTGTGCAAAGTTCAGAAATTATTGACAACTATGAATTAAGTAACTATTTCAAGTGGTACCATAAGTGTAATATTATATTAATAACAATAATAAAAACACACTTAAAAAATGACTAATTGGTGAACTGTAAAGTTATATAACTTCGAACCAAGCTCGACCGACAAATGTAAGCCAAATCAGGGCCATCGTTCTTAAGATTCTGTTGAGATAAGTTATGAATAAGAAATGAAAATTGGTGAGAAGCGTGGTAAACTAGATTTGATCCTTTTTTTCTCTTTATAGACCTAATGGTTGGAGTATCCTGATTTTTATTAACATATCTTTAAAAAAAAAAAATATACAATATAACATTCAGCCTAACTAATTTCTAACTGTTTGTATTCTTCACAGAATAATGTCAAAATGTCAGTCGGTTGCAGTCGGCTGAACAAGATAGCATTGTTAAAAAATGACCCTACTATGGATTATATGAATCAATCGTAGAATTAGAAAGCTGGTATTGTAGCTACTATTGCCCTTTATCAATTTTTCTGTTTAGTAAATGCCTGCAATAGACGATTAAAATAAATTTTGTTTTATATAATTTCCTTATCACGAGAACGGTACTTCGTGAAAATATCAAGTTACTTGCGAAAGTTATTAAAAATGGATATTTTTTCAAAGTCTTTTATGTGCACATAGTATAGAGTAAAACTATTGTCTATAAGGCATGTACAAATAATAAATTAACGATTAATTATAAAATAATGTGTTAATATTTAATATTGTGTCAAATGTATATACATTTAGATAAAATATGACGTAAGTATAATAACCATCCAATACGCGAACTGCAAGATGAATAATTTTCTACTAATATGTTACATAAATCCATTAGTAAAAATATGCATAAGCAATGATTGGTCAAAACACAAAAATAATGTGTTAACAAAAACATGTCCTAAGGTTTTTTTCAAGGCGGCGCTTTGTATAGGCAATTTAACGCCATACTTCTTGTATTATACATTTTTATAACGACGTACCTACAACTACTCTGCGTGTTTCACGATGGCATTTAATTTTTATATTTATCGAAAAAGAAACGATAACATTATTATGACGATATATTTAAATAGACAAATCGTCAAATACGAATTTTTAAATTTTCTAAAAGACAAGCTCACATATATTATACAATAATAAAATAAATTGGTTACGTTTTTTTATTTCGAGTTGATTATTCACATAGTAACCCCCCTCCCTCCCAAGCATCTCTGTTTCCACCTATAGATATATACCAATATAATAACAAATCACGACATCTCTAAATATCTTCTGTATCTTGGTAACCGAATATAAACACCATAATTTGACTTTTTTGTGAAACCTTATTGTGTTTCATGTATATCATTGTTTCTATAGAAACAAACAATCATGTCTCTACAATCATTATTTTTTTTGCTACTCGAAAACTGTGTATTTTTTTTATCCTTTACTAATCAAGTTCAATAGTTCAATTTTATAAACGTTAATACTCGTGGTGTACAGTACGGCTAGTGATTGTTTAGTTATACCAACGACGAAATGTTAGTTGTTTATAGTGTTTTAAGTGTTAAGTTATATAGCCATGTAGGTAGTTAGGAAAAAATTCAATACGCCATGCTCAAACTAATCATAATATTAACACGACGACGTTGGGTGTGTATGTATCTTAATTTCGTATAACAACCAACAAAAATGCAAATCTTGATTACATGAGTTATGAATTCATCAACCGATGAATCAAACAAACTCGATATTGCAGCATTGAGTGTCACTTCTGAATGTGACCGAATAGATTTACAAGAGTTTTTAGACTTTTTAATATTAGCTTATCGGATAAATGACGTGCTAACATTAGGCAAGGAAAAACAATTACATGACACCTGCATCAATTGGACTGAACTGTCTCGTAATAATTTGTTTTTACGGTTGTCTGATAAAAACCCTGATACTGCTGCCGAAGACGAGACGGGACAGGGAACAATGCGAGGCACAGGTACCGAACGAGTGCAATGTATTCTCAAACACAAGCTCAAAGACATAATGAATGAGGGTATTTTGGACTCTGTTCTTCCTTTTATAGTTAAAAAAACTTTGACAACAAATGTTTTGAAAAATTTTGAGTCATTTGGCTCCAAAACTAGTAATAATCCTTTAAATAAAGACAAAATGTGTTCAAAACCAAAATGTAATACAATTGACCATTCATCTGCTCCTAGAACTAACAAGGGAGAGTAAGTATACTGTCATTTAAAATAACCATGTTAACATTTTTATCTATGACCATTTATTATTTATACCTACTTTTTTTTAAAAACCAAAAAAGTACGGAAATTGAGATTAACGTATGTGATGCAGTTCAAAAATTAAAAAAAGTATTTCGATGTCCTAAGCGACTTCTTATTTCGAAAATGGGATATTTCTCTGAGGTAACCAAAGGTAGGTGCACAAATAAATGATGGATGATTTATTGTTACAGTGTGACGAGGTTAAAAATTATGTTTTAGGACAACGGTTGGAAGATATTGATATATCAGTACATTGTGAAATACCTATATTTGACTGGTTAATAAAGTGGGTTAAAAAGGACTTAAAACCAAAAAACGAATGGCCATTATTAGGTACTAATTTATATATTTAAAATTTTAAAAGTAAAAAAAGAATCTTAATTGTTTTTTTGAAATACTCGTAATTTGTGTACAGATAATGGAAACGTAGTGCCGATTTTGGTTTCTGCCTCATTTCTACAAATGGAGCCTTTATTTCAAGAATGTCTACTATTTTGCAAAAATAATATCGATGATGTATTATCATCATCAGCGAGTTTTGGATGTGTTAATGACGGAGTTATTACAAGGTTTGTAAGTAAATTTACTTTGTTTACCATATTTGGTTTTAAAACTGTCAAATGTGGTTACGTTTTTATATTTAGATTATCAAATCAGTTTAATAACTGTGACGTAGAAAATATGGTGGACGTAAAGGATAAATTAAAATCACGTTTGTATACGAAATTGATATGGGATTTGTGCAAACGGGATCCAAAACGTGAATTAGGGCATTATAGTACACTAGCTTATGCATACTAGTAAGTTACAATAATGTAATTTTCTCCTAATAAATGTATTTATTTTGAATATTTAAGGCTATTGAAATTTCTATGATTATTATGTTAAGCATTGAATTAAAAAGAGTAATTTATTGATTTTTAATATCAATTATTACAATTTAAAAAAACTAAACCTATACAAGTATTTTTTTTGTCAAAGACATTTAAATAACCTTTTAGACTTTTATCTAAATGTTCAAACCTAAATACAAACATTACATATTATATAACAATTATAATAATTATTTACATTTTAAAATGAAATTCCTTTTATAATTAACTATTCCATGCTATAAAAAAGTATAAAATACATAATTCATTTCCCTTTAAAAAAAATGACATTTAAAAATTATTATTATTTAATTATTAATTATTATTATGGTTTTATAAAATAAAATAAAATAAAATAAAATTCTATTTTTTTCATGTAAATAATATAAGTTCTGAGTGACTGAATATAGCCAATGAAGTAAGATTTTATATCATATTAAATACTTACATATCGCTAATAATTAAAAAATGTTAAATTGTATTAAAAATACATATTTAATAAAATCGTTATTAGTATAAAGCAACAGAAGGATTTTTTTTAATTAAGTACAATTTAGTTGTTTCCGATTGGTTAAGTATTCAAAATTATGTACCTATAACAAATTATGTACCTCATAATATTATTATATTATAATAGTTACAAAAAATAGTTATGAAACGATATTAATCAAATTAAGAGATTTTCATTTGTAAATTTAGATTCGAAATTAGAATATTACCACTTACCAAATACCAGTTTTCATATTTATCATATTATGCTTTTGTGAACATATTCCTAATATATTTTTAATATTATATTGCTCTAATTTTTTTTATTTTTTTTTTATGAAATTATCGAATTTAAAAACAGTTGAGATTATTTCTTTGAGAATTTGATTTTTTTAAATTATATTTGTAAGCATATTATTGAGTGTTATATTTGGGTAAACTTTATTTTTATTTTTTTATTTGATATATTCAGTTCAAATGTATCATGAAATGAACACTATATCATTTTATTAATTTCAAATATTTTACATATTATGACTTACTTTTCTGCAATTATTTAAACACTTATGATTATAAATTATTATTAAACGAGTAAAATAATAAAAAATTGGTCCAGAATCAATATTGTTTTGATTTTCACATTTTATGGTGTATACAAAATAACTGGTAGTAACGACTGCATGTAACAAGAAATTCTTAAAAATTATTCATTGTTGATTATTAAATTACCTGTACTAAAAAAGGTTTTAAACTTTTGATGAGAACAAATGTTATTCCTAGGGCTCAGATTTATGTAAATATTTTCACTATGACATAATGAACTAATTTCGGCAGGTGATAAATTCATTTCATAAGATTTTTGATAAAATTAACTGTATTTGATTTCACACATTTTTACCTATTTTGTTATAAATAGTATGCTTATGTTTTTTTTTGTTTCTACATATTTCACAATTTTTTTTTTTCACACATATTAGACAACTTAACTGTTTTAACTTGTTTTCTTTAGAGTTCAGTGATTGAAAGCTTGGTAAGTAAGTAATCCAATACTTAACAATTTAAGACTTGTGTACTATAATATCGTCGGTGCAGCGGTTTCCAACGGACGTATTTTTTAAGTAGCTTTACGTATAAATACGGTATATAAAGCAATTTTAAGACAGAATCTGAGTTATTTTGAATTTTAAAATTTTAAAATGCATGTTATTATAAATTGCATTTAAGATAATTGGATAAATTATTATGTTTTTGTATTTCATTTTACTATAAAATACATCCTTTTTTTTTAATAATAAATATTTTGAACTTTTTAGCACATATTTATTATTTATGTACATATAGTTTTATTGTATAAATACATACTTTGGTTTTATATAAATACATACAAATCTGAGTCCTAGTTTTTACTTAGTTACTTGGTTATATAAGACTTATACCACTAAGCGTTGATATGTTGTCAGTAGTCAATTGTTTCTAGTAGGTATACAAAACAATTTCCTGTCACACGGAATACATTACCATGTGATTACTAAACCTATTATAGTAAGATTTTGGTTTTAACTATTATAATAATAATTTATTATCATAAGAAACTACATATTTTTTTTTAGATATTGACTTATTGATCACAAAGTCGTTTTGTTTTATTTATAACATTTCATATACATTTAAGACTTCAACATTAATTTGTGTTGACTAAATTGCTTATTCATACAAAATAAATATGAAATCAAAAATAATTATAATATATTGTATATTTGAATATTTTTGATTACTGTCATTAAAATGTCTATATAAAGTATTAAAAACATACTACTTCAAGACCGCAAAATAATTTAACCGATCTATTTATAGTTGTTGTCGTTGTAATACAATTTTGGTTCCAAACGTTGCTGGCAGGATACCTTGTAAACCACCGACTTTTAAGATTGCTCAAAATGGAAGTGTGATTGCATGTCATTTTAGGTAATATTTATTTTCCTCTGCATCGGTTATATTAGATATATCGTAATGAAGTTATAAGTATTTATATACATATTACATATTAATTTAATATTGTGAAAATTGCTTTGAATATTGTAGCACCGTCGTTTAAGTAATGTCTTTTGCCAAAGACGTTTAATCATATATTTCTCAAATCATAAGACAAATATTGTTCTTGCATAAATTAAATTATTCAAAAATGGAACCACACACAAAATTGAAAGCAGTATCATAAGCAGCACACCATTTTTTCAAATGATTGGTTATTTAGATTGTAATAATTACATAATTATTAAGTATGTTACGTTATAATAAGTTATTAAACATACAATTATCAGGGAATCAGGCACAACCATATGATAAATTACCATCTCAGAAAGATCTTAAAAGTATAAGTAATGCAACTAAGTTTAAATAAATTCTTGATCATTGCAAAGAAAATTGCAGAAATGGTGTGTTTCTTACGGTTTCAAGAAAGTAGAGTGATCTCATAGACACAGAGCTAATTAAAATATTCTTAATAATGATTATTGTGTAATTACTACTGCAGTAGTTACCATTATTCATCCATATTTAGATGTATTTCCTTTCTTTTAAATTTTAGCGAAATATTTAAATCAATTTCAGATATTTTCACCTTTTTGCTTTGTATCTTGAGTGCATTTGATGATTTTAAGCCACCTTATGATTTTTATAAAGTTATTTGAAAATGAACTCACTTATTATCATCCATATTGAAAATTTGACTGGAAAGTTAAATAGAATACTAAAAACCCACTGTATGCATTAATTTGTTGCCTGCCCTGGAGATATTTTTCCTAATATCAAAATATTTTTAAAGATACACTCAATTTTACCTGTGAGATTAGTCGTCAATATTTTCAGCTGAAAGAAGCTCTCTTATCTGAAACCTATCAAAACTTACTTCAGATATTTAATTAGTGAAATTCGATGAATTACACTAGTACTCTACTCAATATAGTACTTTATATCAATGGAAATTAATTCACATAAACTTTAAAACACTGACTAATTGTATTGCCTCTAAAATTGAAAGGCATTGAACTTAATTATTATTATGATTATTATTATATTTATTATCCTCATCATGACTTACTAATTGTAATTCTTATTTCTGAGGTTAAGCCATTTAATTCATTTTTATGGATACTCCAGTTTTAAAAATGATTTTTTGTTCAAAAATTTATTTTAATACCTTACCCAAATGTTTGTTCCATCATTCTAAAAATCGGTAATGAATATTTATAACATTGCCCTCCCACCCCTCTCTAAAAACATTCTAGCTATGGTACTGATTGAGAGCATAGTATATAAATACTGAGTAGGTATGTGTAGGTACTTGTTAGAAAAATGTATGTTTGCTGGAAATAAAATTAAAAATAAATAAAATATATCACTTATTTGCGGTTTCGGTTGTTATTGCATATACTTATTATTACTGCAGAGATTCAAAGTGGACATTGAACGATCACGTGAAGTCGCTGTTTTCAAAATATAAGTGTTGGCGAATTGTTTACTGGTCTTTGTGGTCAGAATGTCATTTCATGAGATGTTCACGTTGCCAACACATGTACCCGGTGAAGAAACAAAGGTGGTGTCAATTCCATACCCAACAGCCACAGTATTATCCGGTGGAAAACAATCGATATCTTTACTATCCTATTGGTAAAAATTGTTTCTAACTTATGTATAATAAATAATAATATTGTTGTGTAGTGACTACTATAGCTAGCAGGTATGGAGTTAAACAGCAGTGGCGTACCGATGGGGGGGAGGGTAATGGATTACCTCGTTCTCATAAGAAAAATTCACATGTTATACCTTACAATGATTTATATTATATATATTGGACCTATTGTTACTATTTATTAAAATAACTCCCCTCCCCGCTCCCCACCGATATACGAATTTTGTGTACGCCACTGGTATACAGTACCAGTTTTTTTTAATGAAATTTTTACTTATTTGATGTATTCATAATATAATAAAACTGTCAAATTAGCAGTGGGGGAAGGGGGAAAATCATGGAGAATAATACCATATCGTCGAATTAACTTCAATTTTTTTCATTTTTAAACTACTAATTTGCAACCTAAAAAAACTACTTCTTTGTATTATCGCGATTCCTAAATAAAAACAAGGTTGTACATTTTTTTAGAGATAGAGTTTGCTAAAAGCTATAAATTAGTTGTTAAATTAATATTAAAAATGTTGAGGTTGATACTTGATACTTCAGCGGGGGGAGGAGACAGCTTGAATTTAGCTGTTCTCAATTTTAAAAGTTATCACGGCGTAGGTCTATAAGAGGTTGCATACAATTGTAAATTAGCAAATTACTTGCAAAGTATATATGTATAGATATCCATGAGATGGAAGGGGACAACTTATTGCACCTTGAGAATCTTTTCAACCAAGAGTCGTGTTGAAAAATTTTAATCACTTCTCCACCCTCATTGTCAAGCTTCAGATACACTACTGCTTTTTTGTTTAGGTGCCTATATTTAATAATTGATGTCAACGAAAATTTTACCACGATAAAATGTATTTATAAAGCGTAATACAATATTATTCCATGCAAAACTTCAAAATTGTGTTATGTTAGTAAAAATGATTGTCACCGGTGGAAGTGTCTCTACATAAAACTTATTTGTATATTTTTAGGTCGTTATCCATGTTGCAACGAAAAAACTTTTAAATACGAGCCCATCAAAAATCCATTTGTAAGTTTCCACAAAAGCTTATAATTTTTATAATTGCAGTGTGTATCTTCTGCAGAAGAATTATTCATCATTGTGTATTGATATATTTTGCTTCTTTAGTTGGTGCGTAATAATAAGTTTGGTTTTTTACTATGGGATTGCAGAGTTTTGTTTTATATAGCGATATTGGGAGAATGGGACGGGTAATTCGTTTGATAAATTTCATTCCAAATACCCAATTATTGATAACTTAAACATTGTATATAATATACAAAAATAAGAGATCTTACATGTTTTTTTTCATTATTCAACACTAAGTTTTATTTTAATTTGTCAGTTATTATATTGTACAGGAATGGTCCAGAATGATGATTTGAGCGGGTAGCATTCATTTGAATGTATACCACAAAAATATTTATTCAGGGCGGGCGACCTTTGGGTCTCAGGATCTATGTCCCCAGAAGTGGTCGGCTTCAACTTATGGGTGATTGGTGAGCAAAACGAGTAGGGAGCAGAGTCTCTAGTCATTTTCAATTAAATTATTATATAATAAATTTTTTTTTTAAAAAAAAGGAGAATTATGAATGGGTGGCGTGTGTGTCTCTGTTCTTTGGGGTGGGGCTAAGCATCTAATATTACCATTATACCTATAGGAAATAAAAACATATTTAACTATATTGTCACGGGTCATAGTAGGTGACAAACATTAATACGTATACTATGATTATATTATATTTATATTTTTGTTTTACCTTTGCACAAATTATTATTGTTACGGTACCTAGTGTGGCACGGTGATTGGCCGTAATCACTAACGTGTTTTGAATCTTTTGCCTCCTCCTTCCCAAATAAAATTGGGTAATAACCACACAGTTGGTCTTAAAAACAATTTAAAAAAAAAATATATATTTATATGTATATTCTTATTGTAAGTGGGAATACAACCATACTGATTAGACGTGTTGTTTGTGTAACGTTAATTTTATGAGACAAATAAACATTATATTACAACATAATTGTATAGTGTTAGATTCGGTAACTACCTATGTGTATTGCTAAATGTGTGTACAAATTTAATATTAAACGAATTATCTATACATTTATTAATCTATTGTAATTGTATTCCGCCAATAATAACATTATAAAATGTAACTTCTTCAAGTGTTTATCGTATTAAGCAAAATAGTTTATTATTATTATCAATATTATGGCTTGTGCAAATACAAATCATTCTTGATGATGGGCTTTATTTAGTTAGTGGATTGAGCTAAGTCCCATCGTGTACGTAGGTATATTAATTTGTTTAATGATAATACTTTTATGCAAACAAATTGTAAAGTCACAACGAGTTTATAATACTATTAACCTGATTGTCATTATCGAATGTGAACATAATTAAATAAGACACATAAACAATATTATTATGTATTGTATTTAATTACAGGGTTGTCACTATCGAGAGCACATTCCATTACTTGAACATACAGCCGAAATAGAAACATATAAAGTCATGCAAATGTTCCCGTCCTTAACCATCACCGACCCACCCATGTTTTTCTCGAATGGGATTTCAAAACTTATGGACGCACATGGTAGGCCGTTAATCATACGAAGGTGTAGTCGTGCCGTTTCTGGCACGTGTTGTTGCTACTGACGATTTTAACTTTACCTTTGACCTACATTTTTAAAAATCTGCTATACAAATATGCAATCCAACAGTGTTAGCATAACAATATTGATAGATTCACCTCAAGCATGCTAACCCCATGTTTCCTGTAATAGTGAATTTGTTAAAATGTGGATTTTTGAAATTGTTCAGTTTAGGTATTTATTACTTAAATTACTTATGAACCACATTTTTAAATACTTTTTTTGAAGTTTGTGTCCTGCTGCTTAAGCAACACTTTTTTTCAAATAAGAATCACCACCCTTTTTTATTGTAAATCTGTAAATTGTAGAGCATATGACTTTTTTTTTGAAAATGTTGATGCATGTACCTAAATCGAAATTTTAATGAGTAGTTTCAGAGTTATTAAACTTAGTGTTCAATAATCTATTAACATTTCATTAACTGTAAAAATGTTCTAAATTTAATAATAGTTGCTGGATTAAAATATATTACATCTATTTTATATTTGTGTAAAATAATTTAAAGGACTAGTATTCTTAGTACATACATTTTAATAAAACTACTCGATTGAGTTTGTACTTAGATATACCTGCATCAAAATTTAAAAAAAAAACAATTTGATTAATAATTTATAAAAAAAGGTTGGTTCTCATTTGAAAAATAAAAGTTTATATTATTGCAACGTGGCACTCACTAAATTATGAAAAAATATCAGAGTACCTATATAAAATGTGTTTATGAGTAAATTTAAAATAACTTAATTTATAATATATATACCTAAAGGTCAATTTTTTTTTGTATTCGTCGATAATATTGCACTACGTAAATTATCGGTTTTTAAAATCTGTTTTAGAAATTTTGTCGATTGTCGGAAATAGCACGTAACCCATCCTCGTGTTTATTGAAATGATTGATATGTTAAATATTAATAATTCTTCTTCTTATACACTTTTAATAACAGGCGATGTAAAGAGCAATGATCAAAACACTACGGCTTGGCCCACTGAATCCCATCGGTTCGCTCCGTTTATCGGTATAATATCATACTATACTTATTATTAATTATAGTTCAGATTTTTTTACTATACAAATACAATATTATAATAAAATGATCGAGTATGAAGTAGAAGCACGTGGACAGTATTTGCATAATTCATAAACGTGTTTCTGTGCTTTATTTATAGCTTCAAATGAAGGTACGTCCAGGAAATCGCAGTTTTGGTGGGATAATATCGTGATGGGCACATCGTCAAACAAGAGACTGCTGTTGAACGAATTGTGGGACAAACCTTTCGCCAAACGACCTGTATCACCTAGTACAAGTAAGACGTATACAATGCAAAAATACTTACTATTATTATAATTGGAACCGGACTTATAAGCTATATGCAAATGCATACTAATTTATAATAATTAACTATTCGCAAAATCTATTTCGGCCATTACATGTATGGCTTGTAACATCTGTTCCGTCAAAAATATACTAGAATAGGCAGCGGGGTTCTATCACACTGCGCACTCACCCTCACAAATTTGCAGTGTAATGGAAATTAATTATTTTGGATTTCAATTTCTAAAATATAACTCGTTTCCGTTTCGAGTATCTAGAATAAAAATTTTAATTAATCCAAAAAAAAAATAATAAGTTGGTACTTTACAAAGTAAAGATATGGTATTATAGATACATATATATATATGGCTATATATAACTTTAACTCGTCACAATGACATTTGACATACAATTTAGTTTCACACTTGCACTTTATTAATTAATCAACTCTTTTCTGAAAACGATTTTTCTTTAAGCTGAACTTTAGGTTTTTAATTGAGAAGAATTTAAAGAAATACCATTGTACTTACTGTTTTTATTTTTGTAGTGTGAAGGTTACTTTTCTTATTGAAATGTAAAGTATAACTTCCTTACTTTTATTTTCAAGTACCTTACGAGTAAAGAAACCTTAATATCTACTTTTCAAAAGTTACTTACTCAACCCTGCAGTCAATTCGAGATTTCGTGCACTATAATTAATAATTATACATTGGTGACACGAGAATACAAGTATGAGAAATTTCATTATTTTTTGTGCCCCAAAATAAAAGGTGAAAATAACGTCTACGAAGCGACCGAGGTTCCGTTGAATGAAATCAATTCATCGTTCGGATCGTCGTTTGAAGAAGTTGAGGATTCATTGTCGAGTTTTAGTGACAGTGATTCAACTCATTCTGAAAAGACAACTTATAACAATAGACAACAAAAGATCAAACGGTCTTCGAAAGCCATAAGAACACTGAAACAAAGATACAGGTAATTCCGTTGTATTTTAATAGATTCGGTAAATATATAAGAAATACCTATGTATACAGCGTCAATACAATATATAATGTATATGTTAACTGTTAAGTAATTTATGACATTTTTAATTTTAAAGATACTCTGGTACTTATCAATGGTCGTTGACGGCACCAATGCGTTGTAATCAGGACAATCAGAGAGAATACGAAGAACGCTGTTTTAGACAAATCATTCATCAGCTGCTACATCAAAACAGCAATTCGAACACGGAATGCAGCCGATTGTTGACTACTACCAACAACCCCGTTATTGATGTTGGTCAGCGATCTGGTAATTATATTATGGTTTCCACTCTGAAGTTCAGGTACCACCCAGCGTCCCAGCATCTTATATATTATTGTATTACATTTTTCATTATCATAGCGATTTGTTACCGAACAAATTGACGATTATTTTGTTATTTTTATGTATATTTATGGTATATATATTTGTAGGTGGTTATTTTGTAAGACTAGAAACCGAACTCCTATCAAAAATCGACCCGAAAAATGCTCAACGACCGACGAGTACCGTGGAGGCGAAAGGTGTGCAATCTAAAACCAAGCTTAAGAAAACACTCAAACCTCCTAGTTCTTAACCCTTAAATGATATTAAAAACCATTGTTACAATTATTATTTAGAAGTAATATATAATATATTTGTTATCGTTTTAACCGAGAAGGAGCTTAATTTATAGTACAAAAAAAACTTAAATTAATAGTTTTATTAAAATGCAATTGCACACACATAAAGAAACATCATGGAATAGGTACAAATATTATATAATTAGAACTAAATGATATAATTTACACAAAAACTGAGTTATAACATAATTTTAGTATATTTTATTATACATAGAGGTTGGAATTAGATAGGATGAAATAACAATAATTTTGATATAGATGGTCTAAAACTTGAAACAATATATTATAATGAATATAACTTATAAGGTTACCCTTTGGTTTGGTCGCCTACTTTGCGACTAGATAATACACACACACACATATATATATATACACACACAAGCAAGCATACGTGAAATCACACTTATCGATATTATCATAGGTAATAGGTACATAATAATGATATACATTACAATAAATAAGGACTTACGCGATTCGATAGTGAACATTAGGAATCAATTACGAAAAGAATTAATATAGATGTGTTATAATATTATATATTATGTAAATGCCAAGGGCAGTAATCACAAATCTTAACAAGTTTTATATTATAATATACAGATACCTATAAATAGATACTGCAACAAATGTATACGGTGTCACGGAGAACTGCAACGGAGAGCTTCAATATAACAATATTGTTCGTACATATATTTATAATTATGGGGTCTTACCCGAAATATTAACAATATTCGCTGTTTATTTGACATCCACCGAACACTTTATTGCAGCTTTTATAATATTATATTTCTAAATAAATGTATTACCAAATATATCGCAGTCACGACATCGACACTTGGAAGTAACTATCGGCATAGTTAAGCGATATGCATTTGGCAAAACAAGTAAAATTTAATACATTTCAAACGGTTAATCTAAATGACGTATTTCTAATACCTATAACTAAACTAAATCGTCCATAGATTATACATTATAATATGATATAGACTCTAATGACTATAAAAAAAATTACAATTTAGGTACCTACCTACATTAATATAATCGTGTAAATAAACATTTTTGTGACATTAGTACGCGAAATAATATATATATATATATATATATACTTATTATATATATGTCAATAGTATGAAATTATTTCCCTATATTTATTATGTTGTCGGAAAGAGGCAAGAACAACGGTTTTTTGCAACCCGATCGCGAGTAATATCGAACTTTACCGCTCTATATCACAATATATATATAGTGACCAATCAATATTTTATCGATTTTCATCGGCTGAAGAAAATAATTGACTACCTTACTACTTATAGCTTTATTAGGTAATACACAAAATGTCTTGCACACACTCGATAAAATTATATAAGACAAGGCAACGGCTGTATGATTATTATTGTTGTGGAGTTACGCAATATAAAACAATTTATATAATATATAAGTTAAAAAGAGTAAGTCGATAATGATATAACTTTGTCGAAAAGCTGGGTGTATTCTATAATATAAACAACAAGAGCCACGCGCGGACTTATCGACTTAGGTATTATTGACCAAACGAAATTAACTGGCATGATAATATGTAGACACACCGGCGGCGTCTGATCACATAATATTTATTAACTGTATAATGAACATTTCCAATTGAGAGTCTTGGCAATTAATTTAGTATATATTATATAAACATTATTATTTATAATATAGGATACACGCACATGCATAATTAAGGTTGTAGAAGGAATCGGTGATAATTGGTATTTCGTGGGAGAACGGAGGGAAGAATTTTGGGTGAGTTGTATCCAAATTAGTTCCCAGTTGGAATTTTTATTTGAATATTTTGTAACTTTAAAAAAAATATATTTAAATGTTTTCAATCATTGTATCCAAACTGCAATTCCATTATAATACAATTTCGTAAACTTATTATACTTTTAATTTAAATTTTCGTGATGATTGGAAGCGAGGGAGGGAGGTAATATTGTATTTATGTTATGCAGCGTGGAAGACGTGTGGGTATATCCGTTGATGACTGTTGACGATGATGGGTAAGGGGGTCGGGTGCGGGTCGCGGGAGAGATGATGATGGGCAGTGGTTCAGTCGTGGTAGGAGACGTAAGACTCCAGGGGCTTGGGCAGGTTCAGCTCGGCCACCGTGTCGGGGTGCGCGTTACCGTGGCGGCCGCGGAACAGCGACCGCCGTATGGACTTGCGGCACAGCTGCTGCAGAGAGTGCGGTTGCACCCACTGGGGTGCCAGGGCCTTTTTTATCTGGAAGAACACCGGTCCGAATATATTGTAACACTGAGCGTGACTGAACATGGTGCGCATGACGTGCGAGTGCATCCTGGTCGGGTCCTCGCCCATCGACTGGGCGTGTCATGAAAAAAAAACAACAAAAAGAATTAGAGAAATTAATGATTTAGAAAGGAAAAGAAGAAGAACCGCACGTCAACATGTTATTTTATGTATTGACGTATATTGCAATAATCAATACACACGGTAAATATAATACACACATAATGTAATAATATAACCTACGCATTCTGTATAATAATATAGCAGTTGAAATTATTATATAGGTACAAGCGCACAAGAGGGGGTAGGTACAAGATCGTAATGGGTGGTGGTGGGTGCGTGGCTGGATGGTTGGTGAAATAACTATAAATATGAATGTAACAAAATTGATTAATATATTTAAACAATTTTTTTTTTTTTTGGTTTAATTAATAGATGATATTTTGTTTTAAATTTTGACATTCCTATAATTGGTGTAATATACGAAAGCCATACATTTGAATAGCAAAACAACTGCTGCATAAAGTTAAATTTTTGTGTTTTTGAAATAAATGATTTAAAATATATTAAAGCAGTATCTATAACACTACAATATAACAATTATGCAAGTAGAGTAAAACTAGTAAGGTTATAGGTTTAACAAAAGTTTAAATCCAATGCAAGTCCCCTATTTCAACTTATATATGTAGCTTAAATATTATTATTGATGAAATGTAACTGATGTAAAAAAACATTTTTAATTGCAAATTAAGTACATGCTTGGGTAATCAAAATTTCGAAAATAGGTACTCAGTTTAAACTGATAAATTAAAATTTATTTTTGTCATAAAAAAGGGTCTTATTATATTTTGATTGTTTGTTTATTATTGTCATAATAGGTATATTGCGATCTTATAATACATATAATTAGCATCAGGTGTTGTAGTACACTCGCGACTCAATACAACACAATTGTGTAATAAATGATGGTTGACAAGAATAAAATATACAAATTATAAAGCCATATATTTACATACAATCGATGAGAATCAAAAGTAGATTACGCAATAATGGCTTTGATAGTACCTATACCATGCACCTTTCGTTAAGCTAAGAAAGATTGATACATTTTTTAAGGTATATTAAAATACAATATTTAGAACTGTTAGTTATTTTTAATTTATTTAAATGTTATATTTATGTAACATGCTTAAAATAATTTAGAAACTATTAATTTAGTCATGTTCATACTGTTTTAAGCAATACAAATAATCATTGTATCTTCGAAACGAGTACCAATATGAAGTTAAAAAATAGGTTATAATCAGATTTTGAAAATGATAAGTTCAATAGTTCTCACTGAACATCGAGCTCAAATTATTTATTATCATTATTCGATATTTTTGTTGTATTGAAATAGAGTTATAACTTATAACAGTTGAGTCAACTTATTATTAATAAATAGTTTTTTTTTTGAAACCCAAATGTTGACTTAGAAAAATTGGTCGTGATATATTTAAAATATAGTACACACTGAACATTTTAATATAATACCAACCTGTGAGAGTAGTGACAATGTACGCAGGCAACTGTCGTCCATGCGCCTTCTGATCATGACGGAACGTAGGAACCAAGTGAATATGCTGTCCAGCGGACTCTCGATCGGGTCATCGGTCAGACATCTTTGCAGTGTCGTCTCCGTTTTTGTGCGGTATTCCTTTAGTAGTTTCACGTAGTGCAGTCTAGCTTCAGAATTGCAATCTGTGGGCAATGCACAAAAGTTAAAATGATCACACTAGATTAGCTGTATAGTAGGTTTTGAATATGCCTCGGCACTTGAGTAGGTCACTGTAATGGATATGTCATGTGTGAACTACCCTCAATGACTAAGATTGAAACCATATACCAAACATGTGGTGACGGACACAAAAAAAACTCTCATCATTGTATTAGTTGGCCGAATATCCGCCACCCCACTCAGAATCTAAAGTGCATTAGTCTTGGTCATACTAGCGTACATAAGTCGGGCCGATAATGTATAGTGGTTGGAAAATAACCCTGAACATCACACTGACCTACTGGGAGGAATGGATTATACGGTTCAAATATGGATAGACTTCTACTAGGACTTGGTGGATTATTACTCCTACAGTGGAAATTAATTTCCCATATGCATAACATTGATTAAATATGCAATATTAATTAATCAATGCTCTAATCTAATATTTACCAATATACATATTATACTATGGTATAATTTATTTCGACTGTCCTGCGGCTGCAGTGCACGCACTATTAAAAACGACAATCATGTATAAAAATTAAAAGCGCTCGTATAACAATAACTTTATCAATTTATACTATTCTATTGAACTCTGTTATACGAGTGAACGAACATTTTCCACCATGCAAAAATTTAAAACAAAGATTAGGTTAGGGTCAACAATGATGTAAGAATGATTTAATGTATGTTTAGGGATACTTATTATTGAAAAATAAAACATGAATAATGACTTATAATTATATAATTATGTAGTCTTAAATGATTTTCTCAACATCCAACAGGAGAATCAATCCAATATTGTAATTTATTTCAACCATCTAGAAAAGTTATTTTAAAATTACAATTAATTCTTGTGTGTGTGCGGGGATGGGGGAAGTTTCCCCTTAAAAAATTATAGGATTTGAGTCCTCGTCGGTTAAATATCTAGTTTGCGGTTATGGTTTGGGTTGGGTTAGAGGGGGTCTTGGGTTTCCTGTTGTAGATAATCTCACCTTCAAGCCATACGGTTGCTCCACAGTTCAATAAGAGCCTAGTGATATCTATCGCCTGATCCATGTAATGGACGGTGTATGTAATTAACGAGCGTCCACCGTTGTTCAACCAGTTCACGTCACTACCGAATTTCAGCATCATCACTGCGAACTGATACGCGCGTTTAAACAATCCGCAGTTCATTAGCCGCTTGGCACCCAATATTAAAGCAGTGTTGCCGTTTTCGTCCACGGCCCGCGACCAACGACGCAGCTGTGCGACCGTTGCATTGGCCGACGTTTCTTTCAACCGGCGCACCACTTGCATCCAATTTTTGTGGATATCACCTGCAAACGACATAATTGGTTATCGTTATTAACATTTATAGTTGTCGGTAAGGGTAAGTGGTTGTTCGTCAAGTATATTGTATGTGTGTGTGTGTGTGTGTGTGTGTGTGTGTGTGTGTGTGTGTGTGTGTGTGTGTGTGTTGCTTACCCGAGACGATGTCGAAAAATATGAAACAATTGGCGTTCGGCACATTCGGATGCTTCAAACATTTCGGACTGGACTTGAACCGGAAGCAAAACTGTATGTTAGCTATCTGTAATACGATCGAAAGATTTTTATGACAAACTACGTAATTAATGTTGATTTTAACATATTATATTTTATGGATGTTTTTACAATATTATGCTCGTAGGAAATTCACTAGAGCAGATTTTGTTATAATATTCAGAATACATTATGATTTATGTATACAATAATAAAATAATCTTCCGTAAAAGCGAGCATGATTAATGTGTCTAACATATAACTATAATAATATATTATACATTATATTGCTGAAATTATAGTGGGTGTATCCGCGCATCACTACCTGCAAGTGACAGGTGTGTAAGTTTACACTCATAATCATCAAAAAAGGTATAATTGTTGTAATTGATGACACAATGTTTATACAGTAATTTAATAACAGTTGATTTTGGGTCATTTATTTTGCTTTTAATCAATTAAGCTCATCAAGTATTAATGTATTATGTGCAAATCAATATATTCATTACTTAAATGAGTTAACGAGGATATTATTTTTTTTTTAAGTAGGTACTTCAAAATAAAAAAATAATCAACCTGCTTTATGTGTATGTACCAGTGTATGGTATAAAATACTCCTAACCGTAAGTCTTAATTATCTATCAATATTAGAAGAAATTGTAAAGCAATGTTTAGAAGTACGGCAAAAAGAACATTTCATTTTGTTAATATACTTAATAGGTAATTATTATGTGCTTTTATTCTCAAATGTTATAATTTAAGAAAAATGTAATTTTATAGAATTACAATTATCGTCATTAAAAAAAATAATTTTGTAAAACTTTTCTAAAGTGAATAAATTATATTTTCTTATTCAACATTGCTGCCAATAAAATACTAAATAATAGTAACTTTTTGTGTATATTTATGTTTACTAGGTATCCCAAAGCATCCCAAAGTTTACTATAGTATTTTTAAATAATTTTTTTTTGCAAAACATATGACTGATATCATTTATACCTGGTGTAAGATATGTTATTATCTCATAGAATTATAATGTAATAGTAAGTATTAACAACAATACATACCGCTGGACGAGTTGCTATCAACGCATCGTAGTCTTTGAAACAGAATAACTGCAACTTATCACCGACCAGCCTCCATTCTCTGAACGCACACCTGCTGCAACAACCTGCTTTTAACAAAAACAAAAAACAATATCATTAAACATTCTGGTTTGGGTATTCGCGTAATATAAATTGCCACGGCAGCTGGCAGGATATCTTTTAAAAGCAGAAGATCTAATCGCATGTGAATGATATTTAATACCTTGTCATTCGTTATAGAGTATAGCAATTCATGAAATTATAGACAGTAGTACAGTACCTACCTAAATAAAAAACGTAGAAATTTAACATCAAGCTGATTATTTAATGTTTAATACGAAATTTTGTGTAAGTATGCAATATCAAATTAATAAGTGTGCAGAGAAAAGACAATATTGTGAAATTCGTTTGATTATTATTTTTGATTAATTAATTACACTTATTTAATTAAAATTATAATAATAAAATAAAACTAAAAACTATGCTTGATATACTTGAAAATTGAAGTTGAATAATTATTAACTAGAACATTGTAAAACCTGCAGTACATCGCAAAATACGAAGTTAAATTATTAATCTAACCCTGACTTTCAGGATGCCCTATAAAAAAACTGATGGGTTTAAATTTACTTTTAAAATTAAAATTAATTAACTCTAAATATCGACACCCAAAAATAAAATACTTATAAGTTGTAACAATAGGCCGAAGATTTTTTTCTGAATGTTCCAAAATAGCTTTGGCATGCATACTATTAGTTTCATACAAAAAATAAAAATAAAAATAAAGCTTTTACTATGTATTTAATCAAAATGTTTGGGACATTTTTAAACCTAGGAAATTATTTGTGTGTTTCGTAATAATTAATAATATTTTATAAACTAGACCACTAAAAGAAAAGAAAATGATATGGGTATTATTTATTTTTCTCTGTCATATTTTTTTTTATTAATTTTTTTTTTCCTATGTAGGTGCCTAACAGACAAAAGCGGCGACCACGTAGATGCGCAAAAACAGATATGAGTAATTTTGATAGGTTGTTTTACTTAAGACTTGTAACGATTACTATAACGCCAAACTACGAATATAATAATACATTTAAAAATTAAATTAAAACCGTTTTTAAGAACAATATTTTAAGTTTTGTAATATTATAAGTGCATTAAGTGGTAATTTTTAAATGCATTTATCTTGTTTTTTATGACATTTAAATCCACGTTGTACACAAAAACTACTCGTCCGAAATTCCTTTTTTAGGGATTTCCAAAAATATAACCTAACCTAACCTTTGGAATTACGAATTAAGATTGCTTGTTGTCATTAAAAAATAGTAAAAAGTTATTTTTTAGAAACATTTTGTTATAATGAGTGTCTTATACATTAAAAGGATCATCCAAAATATTTCGATGTGTATTATATAATATGTATTTTAAGTATTTCTCAAACTGCAAACATACTTTTGCATTCTCCTCCATGCCATTCGCCGGCGATTATTTTGTCGATATCATTGTCCGCCGACGATATACACAATGTAGACACTTCCGCCTGACTCTCGGGCTGTTGGCTTTCTGACGACGGACCACCGGAAGCGACGTCTAACTGTAATGAAGCCAGCGGATCGTCGCTGCAACCTTCGGCACCCTCGGTCATAGTGTCATTTTTGTTACTGACCAAAATAAAAAAGACATAATATGAATAAGTGTTTAAAAAAATAAATAATTAAAATTATTACGATGATTTTTTAAAAATATTAACTCAGTGTAATATTTATATTTAGTCATATATTATGTGTATAAATATATTAATTTTATCTTTTAAATTTTTTTTTGATTTTAAAGTTGTTTAGCTACTTATATTACAAAAAACATCTCCAGAGCGCTAAGGTCAATAAATGTTGCCCTGAAAAAGTTTTGCAGATCCTGTGTAAGGTTCAACAGTTTGAGAACCTCTAATTAGTTTGCTTAAGTAATTATATTAAATAAAGTTGAATATTAATAAGTTATGCTAATAAATAATAGTTGGTATACGCACTATTCGATATAGTAATTAGGTACTAATTATATTTGTATTACTATTGTCATTCCTATACGTCTTACCGTATGTAACTAATACATATTATGTACTAACATCAAGCTAGTTTTTACTTTAAGTCAATGTTTAAAATTAATTGAAAACTTAAGATAGGGTTTTAAATCCTATAGTATAATAAGAGATATAACATAATCAAATTATATATCTTATACACTCAAATACTTAGGTAGGTGGTGCGTTATAAAATATATAATACTATCTAAATCAGAATTATTGATAAGTGATAATAAATTGCAGGAGAGTACTTAACATAAGTATTAAGTTGAATTGCTAATAAACTGTTGATATTTTATTGGGCCGATAAAGTAAAACTATAATCATTCAAAAAGTATAACGATTATGTTATTGAAGTACAATAAACGGCACTTACGAAATTTAAGATTATGCCAATTATTGTGTCACTGAACTTAATAGTAATCGTGTTTTTAAACACTGTACAAATGTTATATTAAAATAATAAGAAATATGATATACATGTATGATATCAGCTGTTTTATTATTGATATTTTGATTATTAAGAAAATAATAATATGATTATAGAAATATTGTAGTACTTAAAAATTATAATACTTATAATCAATTTTATTTATTAAGTATTAGATAGTATTCTACTTTTCAAACAAATCATATAAATCATATTACGCAGATGCAATACATAGGTGTACCTGTATTGTGTATATTATTCATGACGGAAGATGTAATGTTTTTTAATTATTGACGAAAAATTTGGCTGTTCCGTCAAGTAGTTTGTACCCGAGTTCACACGGTCATAGTTTTTGATGTCTTTATAATTGACTTTAGCGATTGCGATAGACAAACGCGTGGCGGTAGTCAAACTAAATTGATATGGAAAAAAACTGTGTTTTTTTATCTTTACCGTTATATTATATGTTAACGACGTGTGAGGTGAACGGGGGAACATGGAATGCTGAAGGTTATTGCCTCTCCTATACACTGCGAGCGTATGGAGTGTTTATGCAATGCGGAATTGTTCGAATCGCCGCAATAATGCACGTTCATAGAAAGTGTAAGTAGATATGTATCGCAGTACGGTGCATCGTCGTAATTACCATGTGCATTGGAGACGGTGGTAAAAACGATTATTGTCACATATCATACATGTATCTATAATATATAAGCTGCATTAGGTACTATACATATTATTATATTGTAGTACTCTGCACAAGTTCGAGATCTGCAGTTTTAAGTGACTTTTTTATGCACCGTATAGTGTATACATTAATACAAATGGCAATAACAATGCAATATATTATTTTGAAGCTCATCATTATAATAAATACCTATAACTTGCGAGTTGTCATAAGCGAAATGCCATATCGTTAATAGTGTATTGTTTTGTAGATATTTATTATTTTTCAGTACACAATAGTGTACCTATTCGATATTCTCTATTAATTCACGTCCCACATGTGAAATATAATGCATTTTAATAACATCTATAAATATATGCCACTGTAATAATAAGTGCCATCAGTTATTGACATTTCGAATAATTACAGACGGTTGTTCATTATGGCGTGCAACCAATTAGTAAACTAAGATATTTAGATTTCCTAATCCCAATAAAATATAAAGGGTATAAAGCTGTGTTGTGAGTGTGTATTGTGTTATGTGAAATATGTGTAGGGTGTTCGCTGGCTAGTAAAGGAAATCACCCAGAAGTTAGCAAATAAAGATAGGCGACTGTCGGTTAGAATTTATACCAAATGTTAATCGTAATACTAATAGAGACCATTGTTATACGTTAGCCGTTAGCTTTAACTTATACTTAAAGTAAGGACTGTATAATGATAATTTAATACGGATACAATATTATTGTCTACAATTTAAAGTTATTTTTCCCTCCCAAAATAATTACAACAATATTAATAACAATAATAACAATAGTAGAAGTATTAAACGCGGGTTATTATTATAACGGGTAATATGCGTTTAACGTAAACATTAGGCAATTGAACAATAAAAAAAACATTTCAAGTCAGTTAAGAGCTACCTAAAAATAAGATACTTATTACCTTTTTAGGTATAAAAAAATTGTCAAGGTTTAGAGGGCCCATGAGTCGATGAGTGCCTGAAGCAATGTCTCACCCTTGCTACGGCTCTGTCAATAACTATACAATTATAATATCTATAAAATGTAATGACACCAGAACAAATATGTATAAGTAATTATTAATATGATAGGTATCACAGAGTTTAAAAAAAAAAAATATATTGTTTTAGCTTAGAAGTACACATTAATTGGTTACGTTTTGTATTTTATAGGCATGAATCGTGAATGTATGTAGCAGGTAATTATTGCATTGATTGCAGTGTTTCAACTCATAGTTTATATCGATAATAATACGTTACGATTAAAATATCATACACATAAATATTATTTTTCACTAAGTATGAGTCTCGGCCGCACCTTGTTAAAGCATTATCACTGCAGGGCCGTAACGGTACCTACATAATATAATATAACATTATATTATAGTATCATGCCATGTTATATGCGAATATAGTACCTACATGACATTATGTGGCATAATTTACAATTATTCACATTTTATGATAATTATAGTTCTATAATTTTATCAATACCTACCTATAAAAATATATATCAATTCATTATTCATACCTATGGTGATACATATTATATCTTATATCACTGATTAAATATACGTGACGTCGTCGTATCGTGTACCTATGTTTAATCAATGATTATTATAGATTTGTATTAGTGTTTTATAATATTTTTTTAATAATTTTCATCGTTGCGCCTGTGAGCTGTGAGCCTGTTGCAATATTATATACTATGCATTTGATATGTTTTTCGATCCTGATTCTCCATTACTTAATTATTTCATTATCTTTAGAATTGTTCTGTTTTCAACATTTTAATATTTATACGTACTGCAACAGTACATAGTAATATAATAATATATTAGGATCAGTGAATTAGTTGTATGAAAAAAGAACAGAGATTAAATTAGTTGTACTTGATTTGCATCAAATATATCAATAAATTAATATTTTACGATTTTCATCTTTTTTTGCAGGCCAGGATAGTATTGTTTTGATCTTTGTATTATACTAATGAACAAATTTAATTATTAATTTAGTTGTATAAATAGCTCTAAACTTATTTTACTATTATGGAAAAGTCAGTTGAGTCATTGGAAGTAGGTATATACCTATCTATATTAGAAACGAAAGAATATATTACGGACGAGTATTGTGCAGGCACAATGCAGAACAGTACGCATAGGTCTGCTCTAACGGTTGTGTGTCCGTTATGTTCTCTTCATGGTTGTAACGATTGAATGAGCTCGTGTTTTTCGGCTACATTACACACCACTTCAAGTCGTCTCGAAAAAGAAATAAGTAATAGGTATAAATATGTAATATGTATACAAAAACAGAGAATAAACCCAGAAAAACACTTCATAAAGACAGAGGTGTGCAAAATAGGAAAAAAAACGAATAAATAAAGTATAAGAAATAAAGTGATGAAAGGTCGATCCTCTTTGCCCGTCGATGACCTCACGTAAATACCTATACCTATGTACAGCCGATGTATTCAGTCAGTATTCTCTACATTTAAAAGAATACACATGACATTCAATATTGCACAACATTTTTCTTCGGCGTACTCATTCCGATCCGTCCATGAACATGATATGTAGGTACATAATATATTTCTCAACCATAGTCATTATTTCATCGAACTAAACAATTGGATAATTTTTTATTATTTTGGATATTAATCAATAATCTTTAGAGAAAATCAGAATAACTAATTTACCCAAATTTAGGTACTAACTACTTAAGGTTTGTCTAATTCTATGTTTGAGTAATATATAAGTAGGAGTTTTATTATATTTTATCACAACATAATAATTAATATAAGTAATAAGTAATATGTAATGGCTCCTATATTCAATATTTTTATTAGTGTTATATTGTTATATACTCATATAATATAAGTTGCTTAAAAATACATCACTTAGTAATAATGGAATAAAATATAGACACTGTAATAATATATAGGTAAGATATTTCAATTAATTTGCAAGCGTATAATAATAAAAGATTAAATTACATATGAGTTGAAAGTAATACTATCTATATTTTATGTAGGTAGTGGTAAAGTCTATGTACATATGGTATATAATGAATACTTCAATTAAATTACTCATATACTTGCATGGTAGAGAAATGTGAAAAATGAGAACATATAGTATTACTGCTATTTTCTGTGAAGTTCATGAACTTTAAGCTTAAAATGTTTATGACACCCGAGTATCATATTTTTGAAAACTCGATAAACACACAAAGTCTAAAATATTTACCTATATAGATATTTTAAAACGCAGAAGTTTTATTAACAAATATTATAGTTTGTAACTTATAAACAGTTAGCTAGGTAATCGAATTTTACCAATTTAAAAAATATACATTATAATAGCTATCTTAAAAAATGTAATTTAAATAATAATATGTTTGCAGATGTTACAAATTGAATATTTGTTGTTATTGTTTTGGTAAAAATAAATAATATTTAAAATGTATGAAACATATTCACTCAAGCGGCAAAAAATGAATTGAAAATCGTCAATATAATATATAATGTTGGCACAATACGTTATACATATTGTATATATAGTTTATAACAAATGCGCCAACTCTATGTTAAAAATTGAATGCTTGTATATATAGTAATCAAATACACTCACTCGTTCGAAAATTCCAGATGTCCGTCGGGTACTAAAATAAATAGACTGAAGAATGAACGCTAACTCGTTATTATTTCGAGTGGATTGGACGCGATATACGTATGTGATGTATATAATATATGCCTACGCAAAATATAAACGAAAAAGAAAACAAAAGTAGCAACAATATATTATGTATATAATAAAATATGTAATTTGTTATATACCTATATGTAAGTAAAAAACGGTTTAATTTGAAATTCTGTCGAACGACTTCCGCGCGCTGGCACATATTCTATAGACTCGCCGCAGAAACGCACTAATAATCGGTGTCGGATCATAATGTGGTGTGGAGTAAAAATTGCTTGGTGAGAATAAATGAAAAAAAAAACGAAAAATAAAACTAGGGACTCTACGCGGATTTCTCAATCTCAGCCAGCCCGCGCTGTCACCTCAGCATGGTTCAACGATTCTTTTGTGATTCGAGACCAGCAGCCGCCTTCTTCTGCTGCTCCTCCTCCTCATCGTATTCAACATCCACTCGGTCCAAAAAGAAACTGATAAACCCGTTCGCCAAAAATAAAATATATATAATAATATATAACAAAGAAGATACTTGAATGAAAAAAAAAGAAAGAAAGAAAAAATGCAAGTATGAAAAATATTGACGAAATAACCGGTTGAGCGTTAAAATAAAGAACATCTGTATAGCTTACCGGGCTATACATACATAATATATATATATATTTAGTACAGCAGAGGGTAGAGTTACTTTACTCGATGTTAGGTAGGTATATCATGTTTTTTTTTGTTCCTAAATTTGGGTGATTCATCAAATATGTATGATGCTTATTTTTTCTTCTAATAATGAATTTATTTAAATTCAAATTTTTAGAATTTTTAAGTAAAAACTTTATAATTTAAAAATATTTTTAATAATAAATGTCATATAAAAAGCGTCTTGTGGTGGTGCAAACTTATTTTTTTCAAACAATAACTTCATTATTTTAAGTTAAATTTCCAAGCCAATGGTTTTTTTTAAATGTATAATTATTATACATCAGAATTCAAAATTTTCTGAGCTATTAAACTTTATTAGATGGTAAGAATAGTGCCAGACTCCTTGATAATAATTAATAGGTTAAGATTATTTAGAAAATATTGGCGCTATAGAAAATAGTTATACATAAATATTAATTTGATACAGATGTACTATTATTATTTATTTAGTAATTAGTCAATTAGTAATAAACAGAACACTTTTACAAGTTATAAAATGCTAATAGATGAATAATTATTAATGATTAATATAAAATCATTATAGTTCCCAATCTCCTAAGCTTTTTATCATCGATCTTAATACACGTATAGTGAAATAACTAAGAAAATAATTGTAAAAATTTAATAATAATTGAATTTAAATTCATTTATGTATACCCAAATTTTAAATAAAATTAGCTACGAAACAATTTACAGTAAAAACGGTTGGGTTTCAAATCTATTTTGATAAAAGGAAAGCAACTGTTATCATAAGACTCTCCTTAAATAGCATAAATATTTTAAGTATTTTAAGGTATTATTATAATGTGGTCTTAAAGCGTAGGATTAAAACAATTATAAAACCAGAATTTAAGTATTAATGTATAATGGAAGGATAAAAATATAAAATAGATCTGTGGATGCTTGGTAAATCACTCTGTATACAGCTGCAGTCGGTCGGAGGCGGTCACTGGGATTGCGAATGTTTGAGTTGGTTGGAGGAGAGTAGGTGGTCAGGAAAGGGCCGGATACATCCCGCTGAACTACCCGAACTTTGTGTATGTGTATGTATGTGTGTGTGTGCACGTGCCGTCGAAAACACAATATAGGTACCTACAAATGGCGCGCGCCTCTGTCGATTGCGCTTTTGCAGCGCTCGCCGCGGAATAGGGACGACACTATCACGCCGAGTGGCCTCAGAATGATTTTTTTTTTCGATGACAAATTTCAAGTGGATCGCATTGCGTTATATTTTTATTTATGCATATTATATTATATTGAATATTATGTTATGATATTATGTGCGCTCTGCCGTATTGCCAGTTTCAGAGCGCGGGAGAGAACGACCATCATATTATTATTATTATTATTATTATTATTATTATTATTAGTGCCGTCGCGCCGTTAGCGCACCGAGGTCGGTGAACCATCGGCGGTCACGTCGGTCCTTGCCAAATTATATTACCGTACGACGGCGATGCTCGCGTCGCCTACTGCTCGTAAACGTATTAATTTGTTCGTCGACAGCAAATTGCAGAACTATCCCTTAGGCATGCCGTTTCCGAAACTCAATTATTATTATTATTATTTGCGTCATCAGTTCGAACGCTAATCGCCATACTATTGGAAACGGTTAGTATCTTATAGATAGGAGTTTTTTTGTAATATATTAAAATGAATTGCTTTTACAGAAACGTAAATCCTTGGCACTACTTACTCTAAAAGTTTTAAAAAAAGTTAAAACAAAAATTATGTATATTATTAAGCAGTATTAAGCCATGTCACCATATTATATATAATTTACATAGGTGTATGCCGTATATATAAATAAACGAATACTCTACACTGCAGAGCGCACACTTAAGACTAAACTCAATACATTTTTAGAAAGTGACACAATTTATACTTTTGTACTATGGTATTGGTAATATCGCATTACTTACACGAAGACAAATCATGTCTTAGGTATAGGCGACACATGGGCTTATAAAATATTACAATCCTTACTCATGTGTTTTGAGCAAAGATTCTTCCATTGCGTGATATATTTGCAATTGCTAGACTAAAATCTAAAATAAATACTTAATGTTGGAAAATTTCAAGTTTCTATGAATAATATTTTTTGAATTATACCAGAACAACTAAAATCGTTACAGAAAATATCCTTATTTTTGTTTAAAATTTTAAAAAACGTTTACAATTGAATTTTTGTAAAGCCACTTATGATTAACAGCTTGTATTCAATTTTCTAGCTTTTTGAACAAATATAATAAATGTTGTAAATAATAGAATCCAAAAAAATCTGAAAAAGTAGACGAGATTGTGTGTCTCCACACATCTGGAAATTACTATTATAAAGATTCAGTAAAACATGATTGATTTTTTATTCAAAAGCTAAACGTAACAACAAACATCAAAAAATTGGTAAGTATACATTATATATTTGTAATTAACTTATAATTTTAATTTTATGAAACTTGATAAATATCTGATAGCCGATAGCTTATTAGAATTATCATGAATATTCAAATTTCTAAACATCATAGTTAAAAATTTTCTTTATACTTAATAATACGTATATGGAATTGCACGAAATATTTTGATGACATAAATCACGTCGAACGTCCTGCAGACACAGCGACAATATACATTTTAAGAGGTGTGTGGTATCGTCATTTGGGTTCCATCAATTTAATACTTATAGTCATTCGCGCATTTCAACAGGTTTCCCTTCACGGGTCGTGGAGTTTATATGGCGTATTGGATTTGGCTGTCGACGAGGTCAACGCACACTGCGATCGGCCGTTAATCTTTTTAGGCACACCCATATTATCACCGAAAACTAAAATAGAAAAAAAAACACCAGCAGTCCTAAAATCCATTAAATGTGGCCGATAATTACAAACCAAACCATGATTACACGATTACAGCAAGAGAAAAAACAACATCGTAGACACATATATAGTAGAGGGACGGTTTAGAATAGCAATTATATTTGGTTAGGACGTTAACCCACACAATTCCAAGCTTAATTAAATTGTATAATGATTAAATTTCACCAATTTACCCCCGTGCTATAATAGTGACAAAATGAGCCAAGGTTAAACGTCTATTATAGATTGAAAATGATGAGTTGTTTTTACCAAAAACTTTTGCTTGATTGGTTCATATTATATATTATAGTTTCATATTCTGTCCCTTAGCTTGTACAATTAATATTTTGCAGTGACAAATAATTAAAAAATGTTCAACGCTACTTGAATAATATTCTTTAATAAATAATATTCATAATTAAAACATCGTTATTTATTATTTTAGTGTATCTGTACTTCAATTATTATTTAAAATGTAAAACGCATAAGAATTTTATTTTTACAAAATCCTTTATTTTTTAAATTAAATGTGTAAAATGTTCGATGTCTTAATTATTTTTTTCGGATATCAGGATATCACAATATAATTTATAGGTACCATACAATAATATAATATTTTAACTTATATGTTTATCGTTTAATAATAAAATGTAATTTGTTGAATTTAAAAACCATAAGATAACACCTACGTCCTACGTCCTACATATTGTAATTTATTTATAGTACTTATCATTCGTTTTTAAAAATGTAACATTGAAGTATTGAACTAATATAGTGATAAATAATGATAAAAGAATAATGTTTTCAAAATTCAATAGGACAAATTATTCTATAATAAACTTTTGTGAAAACAACAATGGAAGTTCGTTAAATTTTTATCGGAGGTGTGACATGCTACTGAATACGTTTTCAACAGTTTTATAACTAACAAACATTTTACTATATAGCTACTATAAATAGTATAGTTTATAATTTATTTTATGTCTATCATTTTATAAAAATATTTTTCTGTTTTTTTACCACTTTCATAACATATAATACATAATATTTACCTAGGAACTTATATATTTTAAAACAATATAATATTATTTTAATCGTTTCATTTACAAAATAGTCAAACTTTTTCATCTATGGTAATTATGTTTTTTTGACCATTATTCGTACAAAACCATATTGTATATATTTATAAAAGTATTTAAACAGATATTAAAATGTTCATTGAAGAAGATTTAATCATAAAGAACACTAGTTTTTTACCTTATTTAAAATTTGTTCTCGAATGCAATCATATTATTAAAATTAATAATAATGTACTTATGAAATATAAATTCGTATATTATATTAGAAACAAATTTCCGAAACGCTTCAGTTTTTAAATAATGTATTAGAAAACTTTTTAATTTACTTTGTACCTAAACAAAGTGAGATTATTAGACTTAAGTTGCTACTAACTTAAGTTACTATGAGATAAGATGAAAGTTGTTCGGTTAATCGGTGAAAAATCATATTTTTAGGAGTGGAGGACAGTGACCGACCGCGCCAAGTACCTACATCGTGGGTCAATGATCTGCCTCCGTGTTCCGTTACTATAATATTATTATTGCCGTGTTGCTATATCATTGCGTCAACGGTCGCTTTGTTTTTTTTTGCTACACGTTTAGTTGGAAGAGTTTTTTTTCATTCTTTATATTTTTTTTTTCGTATACAAGTCTATGATAAAAAAAATAAATAATAAAGAATTGATTAATAAAAACCATATCCGGGTTGACAACTTCTTGACATCGGCAATGAAAAGAGTTAAGTAAAGAAATCGTCGTATAGTGAAAATCTCAGTTGATTTGTACTGGAACGTACAATTCTAAAACCTACAATACGCTACGGAATTGTCGCTATTTATGGGAATTGTATGTTTCCTTTTAAAATGCAATGGTTGTCACTAACCCGATCTAATAAATCAAAACTAAAAACAAGAAGTTAATTTGCCCCTTACCTTTTCAATTTTGTAATATTTCCCTACGTATTCACTGGTATATTAAATATTAGTTTATAACATCTATATTTGTTCTTGTTTGCTTTTAAGTACAAATAGCACAATTAAAGATAGCCATGCAAATTATTACATTGTATAAATAGTCATACAATTAAGAAACTATTTTTATTTATTTGTACTATTAAAATTTTAAATATTTGTAAAACAAATTATTAGTTAGGTAATTTTATATTTATATAATGAGTACACACAATTTTAACAAATAGTATTACGTTTTAATAATTTATATCACGACCTATTGTGTATTAATCACAGTGTCCATGAAACATTCAAACAAAACTTATTTGAAAAAAAGGGGTATAATAGGATTTACATTACACTATTACTTAAAAGTTCAAAGTATATAGTAGGTGATTACTCTCGAGACACCTTGCAAGTGTTGTAAATAGTTGCAATATTTATTATGACATCGTGAATTTAGTTCAATTACTAATTGACATAACGTAATACATATAGATTCAGATATCAGATGTACACCTTTATCAGATAGATGCAAGTATATAATAGTTTTAGAAAACAATTTAAGATCAATAAGCTTTTTACCCTATTTGGTTCCGTAGAGTATACCTACACTTACTCAACATTACAGTAAGGCAGGTATATAGTGTACCTATACAACCTATATGAGAGAACGAGTAATCCGATTATGTAAGACTAAGAATATTTAACATGATAAAATAAAATTTACTGAAAACCTAGTACAAACTATAAAGAAAATATCATCATTTATCCTCAACTTTTTTTGAACTGAAAAGTTGATTTAGGTAAGTACACTTAATTTTAAAATTGAAAATAATTATATAATATATTTCTAACTGTTCATTTCAAGGAATCCATAAATATTTTTGAATGAAAGTAAAAAAATTGTAATCAAAATTTAAGAAATGTGTATGTTAAATGTTGTTTATAAGTCAAATATTTAAATTCAATACAGACTACACTGATATCTAGAGATAATATAATTTAATATAGGACGTCTTTAATCACTCTCTAGTCTCCACTGAAATTCACAATCAATTGATACAAAAACGAATTAACGTAAATTTACGCACTGCAGTATTTCAAGTTTGTTACAGTTCAAAATTTATATTCTACTCGCGCAAATTAAATTTCTATTATAACTAAGCTCATGAAGCTCGATAAGTGTCAGAAATCAATCCATCTACTTTATAGTCATTACATTCCACTAAAGTTATCACTGAGAATTTTCGCCAAAAATAAGTATTAATAATTGTCAATACTTGCTATAAGAACATTTATCTACAGGAAACAAAATTGTAAAATGTCGGTTTGATTTTAAGTTACCAAAAATTGTTCAAAGCAAGTTGTATACAATCATATTTATACAAATAATCAATAAAATAAGACAGGGAAAATGGTATTAAAGTATATGGAACAAATAGCCATTGATATACGGTACAAAAATAAAAATTAAGCTGTTAACTTTTTTCTGTATAATTTTGTAATGAAATATAATATACCTACAATGTTTTCTGTTATTGGAATAAATATTTTGAAATCAACATTATGAAGTATGAATACTACATCATGAACTAAAACGAACATTTCCTATTTTATCGTTGTAGGCAAAATATCTTTTGTGGATAACAATAACATGTTTAGTATGAATTCTTATGAGTTTGCATTATAATAAGGCTTTGCTATAAAGAATGTAAAATTGCGTGGGATTTCTAACAAAAAGTGTTAAATGGATCTCTTTTATAATAAAACCTAGAATATGAAATTATGTAAAGTAAAAATTTCAGAATTTAACATAACAAACAGTTGTTATTTATTGTTGACCTAGTACTATAGGTAAATAGGTAATTATAAACTGCAGCTTATAAAATACCTACACCATTTATTTCTACATTATATTATATAAATTATAAGAACTTATTAAATATGAGTTACACAAAGGAAAATTATTCGCAATTCTAACTTTAGTTACGTAGGTATGAGTTTTTTTAGTTAATGTCTAGTGACCACTGTGCGGCCAATCTAGGGGTGTAGACAAATTATAGAAAAATCATCTACAATAGTAAGTATTATTTGTACTATGTAAAAAACAAACTATTATAGTATGCAGATTGATGAGCGTGTGGACACATCTACTCACTGTATAGTACCTATAACTGTACTATCGCTCGCTTGTTTATATCTATATGTATATATAGGGCCAGATGATCCGTTATATACTCCATCGGGCGAATGGCGCAGAACGGCAAAAAGATCGAATAGTGTGCCAGGGGAAGCAGAGTGGTAGCTATATATATATATTGAGATAGAGTGAGCAAGACGGAGTGAGAGAAGCGCGTACTGTATAGAGGGAGTGAGAGCATGACAACGCACGGGAATATACGATCAATGTCTCGCAGACGCACCAGCACCAGTTTCTCGGGCGGCGGGGTGGTACGAGCTGGCGAAAGAGGGGAGGGTTAAACTGCGCTATCAAAATTTAAGGTTTATGAGCAATTGTGTGATGGCGATGATTAACCTGTTCCCGTCGTAGAAGTACTACCTGTTCCGGTATAACGGCGCTCTCCTACGGTGGTGCTTCCGCCGCGCGGCTGCTGAACAAATAATACATCATATACCTATCTGCGCATTTAGGTACGCCAAGTTGCGATCGTTATGTAGTTATGTACATTGTACATACATAGATAGCTTACCTACCTTGTACATACACACAATTACAGTTAGGCCAGACACTGTTTGCCGCACTTACGTATAAAACACTGATAACCCTTCGCAGTGGATATATAATATTTATTATTATATATATATATATGGTCCACTACACAATATAATAATATACATACGACTATATTATATTATCATAATTTGTGTTGAACGCACAAGGCGTAAAATGTCATTCAACTTCTATTCCATCGAATTATCAAAACGAATAGACCGTTAGCAAGCTTCTCAAGTCAACAACGTCAGATAACGAAATTGTTTTAAACATTGCACGTATTTAAATATTTATAATAGTTTCTTAAACATAAGATAATACACATTTAGACATAAAGTGAACTAAGATCATCCGTTGAACTTTATGTCAGTGTAATTCAGTATGAAACGAGTCAAAAATTTAAGCGATATTCTACAATTGTTAAAATATTTCAGAAGGTTTTTTTTGTGTGTAACATTAAGTTATTCATTATTCGAAATAATATTATACTAGTGTATTCCATACTTTACTATTATAATAAGAAAATAGGTAATTGATTTGTGGAAAAATCTCAAACACAGAAACTCGTAGGATTTCGCAAGTATTATATAACAGCAATTACTTAGTTTATAGTTTTTGTCAGAATGGGGAAAACTGTATTAATATTAATTAACTTACCTAATTATGCTTTCAGTAGTTGTGACCCTAAGTCCTTTAGTTCGGTGTTCCTTCATAACTAAAATAACAAACAATTGAAAGTTAGATATATGTATATAATGTATATAGGTAAATATATTTTTATTGCTATAACTCCATTCATATTTTTCATACATTTTTAATTTTAATTGATACTTGAATATACTAAATATTTTCAAATTAAAAAATAACATTGTTTAGCACTACGAACATTTGTATTTTGTAAGTACTGCAGCTTTATTTTTGTCATACCAATTGTATCAATAGTTAAGTATCTAGCATTAGGTATACGTATTTTATCTTTATTATTACTTATTAGGTAATAGAGTAACGACCGAAAAAATTGGGTTGAATGAACTTATATAGACTATAGTAAAATGAATAGAAAGCTCTATACGCTTTCCTAGTTTTTCTTTTATTAATCACCTAAGTAGCGTTTTTAACTTATAAGTTAACATCATAACATTATATAGAATTATAGATATGTTATAAATTTAAAATATATTTTGAAGCATATTAATATAATATTGTCAAATGTAAATATTATTATTTAAAAAAAAGTATAATTTGTATAATTTTATTACTTACATCAACATTTAAAACATTAATATAATTACCTAATTAATATTTTTGAATTTATTACAGGAATTAATAAATATTTAGGTAATAATTAACTTTAAAATTTTTACTTTTTAATTATTTTTTAAGTAAGTAGGTATTAATGTATCCTCCATATTAGAAATAAATAGTAATATTTATTATACAGTTATAAAATTAGTATTTTAGATAATCAAATAAAGTAAGTAGGAATAGAAAATTCAAAGTTTTTACAAATTGATTTTTAATTTATAAAAAAAAAAATGCATACAACTATTTTTGTTTAGTCAGTTTTTGAATAGTACCTAATTTAATCATAAATTGTATATGTTTGCAAAGAATAAAATACATTTTAGTTTCAATTAAAATGTAAAAACTGGTCATTATTAAATGAAGTAATATAAAGTAGGTACCAATTGGTTATTTTCAATATGTTATATTATTTTGTGGTACAATCATCTTGTGATTTTATGGGATTATATTTCAAGTATAGCTAGTAATTATTTTGTCGGTACTCACCGGAGAAGAGACGATAACATTTGCATGCACGTAAGTCCTTATATTTCAATTACACCAAAATATAATTTGAGAAAAAAAATAACGAATTGAAAATCTGGTACCAGTGGAAAAACAAATGAAAAACACTTCACATGAAACGTAATCAGAATAAAATATGGTCTATTGACATCCGGGACTACACGGCCCGACTGCGGGCTACGATGCACTGCGATCAGTTGAGTTCGCGCGCGCGGTCATCGGCTCGATTGAATTTTGCAGATTCGCCGTCGCAAGTGTGCCTACACTACGGAGCGGCGGTAGACAGTATGACCACGTCAGGTGTGTCCCGCGCAAAGGAGGGTCTGCAGTCCAACCGTTACATTGTAGTACCATTTACCGTTATACATATTATGTACCTATATAGGTAGTTACTAAAGTAATAATAATAATATAATGTTTATTATATAGTATACCTACCTACATGCTAATAATAGTATGTAATATGGACGATTGGAAACGTTTGTACTCGTAACATATGTTTTTATACATATAATGTAGTATAATACGAGTTTAAGTACATTATGTAGTTTGATCTAGTGATGTAATATAAAATTATGATTTTTGAGAGTGGCAAAAAATTAATCTGAGACCGGGAATGCATTACAGTGAAAAATTGAATCGCCGTTCTTAATAGCATCAACAATATTGTTTTATACAGTCAACTCAAGTATGGCAGTAAGTAACATAATAATATATAAAATAATATTATAATAAATTTATAAATATAAATTGTAAATAATATAACGATTTATTATATAACATAAATAGGTAGGTACACATAGGTATCTATGGGATCCCATTTAAATGTCTACTCTTATTACTTATTTCGAAAAATATATTTTTATATTCTTTAAAATATAGGTACTTGTTATTATACCATTGTATAATATTAATTAATTTTTACTTATAAGTTTTAATGACAAAATAGATAAAAATCACAACACTTAATACAATTTTGTAATTTATAAAAAGTTTATTTTAATACATTATTATAAAGGCATAACTCACATAAGGCTTTAAATTGATTAGGATTCCTATCATAGGTTAGCGTATACACTATACACCCCCCCCCCCAAAATCACCACATTATTCTGTTATGAGCGTTTTAAATCAAAATGTTGACGAAGTATGATATTCAAACAATCAAACGTATATTAGGTAGGTATTAGGTATATAGATTTCTCCTCAAAAGATTTATTAATTTGTTGTTATTTAAATAATATAATATTAATTGTAGACATTTAAAACAGTGCACAATTACTTAAGTAGTTAAATCTTGATTTCAAAAACATTGAGACAAATTTTAAACTATAATTTATAAAAATATTGTATTATATATATATATATTATTATATTAATTATTTGACCTGTATGGCTATATAGGTTGTTTAAACATTCGAATGTTTTTAAGTTTTTATTTTGATAATGACGATTTCAGTTATTTTATTGTAATTGAAACTTTTCTCTATTATGAATATTGTTTTTATTTATCTTCTAAATAATAAAAATGAAAAGCTGTTTGTTGATTAACGTCTCAATCGATTTTCTCAATCTAGACCGATTTGTCTAATTTTTTTTTAAGTGTTTGTAAAATTTCAAACTAGGTTTTTACAGAATGAAATTGAAAAGTTGCTATAAAAATTGGAAAATTGGGAAAAAAACTGAAAAGTCTTTCAAAACCTTTTCAATGGTTTTTTCTATATAAATGGTTGCCCCAGGTTAAATTTGTATACATAAATAACGAGATACTTTAGAGTGACTAATTCATTATCGATGGAAAGCCGAACCTATTAGATCTATCAATTTGAAATGTTGAGGGTAGATTATTATTATAATTTCCCGGTGCACTATAAGAGAGAAATTTTCAACATTTTGATTTCAAGGGGTTGAAATTGGCATCTATGTACATAAAAATAAATGTCTATATGTCTGTCTTTTATACCTGCCTAATCGACTGGACCTATTTTGGTGAAATTTGTTGTGTATGAGTGTGTTTGAGTGGTTCTCTGGATGATTTAGGTAGGTTCAACCCGGAGAGGTACTCGAACAGAGAGTTTGAGATTTAAGAAGGAAATGTTTGTTTATAAATGGTTGCTATTTGTTATAGGAGAAATATAAATATATTTAGTAGAAATTGATATTTTTTTTATTTATTGCGTGCCATTGGTTAATTGGGCAAATCGGGTAAAGCATGCATCAAATTGAATTTTCGCACATTTACTAAGGTGGCTGAGTTGCACTTATAGTAGCAGTTCATAAGCGTGTCAGCAATCAAAATTAAAATAAAAATAAAACATATTATTCGTATACAGTAGATATGCAAACAGAGAGGACCTTGGTATAGGCAATGTGTTAAAATTCGATTTGATTCATGCTTATATACCTGATTGACCAATTAACCAAAGGTACCCAATAAACAAAAAAAAACCAATTTCTACTAAATATATTTATATTTCTTCTATAAAACTAATAGCAACCATTTATAAACAAACATTTCCTATTTTTTTTTTTTTAATTTCTTTATATACAATCTGTAAATTAATTTTTTACCATAAGAATATGAGCTAGAATTAAGTATGACATGAACCGCGTGATAAAAGAAGCAACCCAGAGGCTACACTTTACATTCTTAATATATAATGCTCGAATTATTACATGCGGATCTCATCAGAGTTGAATTTTTTTATCTGCAACGAAGTGCTCGGAATTAAGAATCTAATATAATATAATTGATCTTATATAATAATTTTAACTTCAAATTTTGATATTTTTAACCCACGTTGGTTTATCTGAAGTTAGTAAACTAAAAAACTATTCTGGAGTGTTTTAAATAAAGGTCATATACAATATACTTATTGCTTATATGAATTATCAATAGATCCCTTGAGACTTATTTGAGGGTATTTATAACTTATTTTTTCAACACATTTACATTTTTTTTTATGATATAAATTACCTTGTATAAAATATATGCAATGGTATATTTTACATTTTTTACAAATATATTTATGAAAAAAAAAACAATTCATTGGCACTGGAGACGCCGGGCGGGACAGCTTGTGTACAATACAATTTTAAAAATATATAGTCTAAATTTAAGTTATTTTTTCAACGATTCTATTCAAAACTAGTTCTAATTTTTAAAGTACCTACGCTATAATTGACTTATGTGTTAATAACGATAATATATACATATGATACTATAGTATAATATATACTGTTATAATAATTATAAATTGCTATGCTTTTGCAAAGAATAATTCAATATTATACTAATATAACTAATAAAAAAATTAATCACCTTTAGTAATATAAACAAATTATAAAGTGTCCTTAGAAATTGAATCTGACACACCGTTTCCGTTTAGAATGGTTTTTCATATGTAATGATTTATCATTGAATTCAAATGTAATACATGTAATGGACGTGCCTAATAAATAACCATTCGTCATTGACGAGTTGCCCTAGGAGGCTAGGAATCTACTATATAATATATGGGTATATACTCGTACATAGGTACGCATCAAATGATTTCCCCGGATTATTTAAACATTTGATTAAATGATAAAATGTTCACTATTTTTAAGTTCAGAATGAACCATTTTTTTTTATATCTATTCTTATTAAATTTTGACACAACATCAAAAAGTATTTATTTGAATATTATTTTATTTCTCACATTACTAATAAAAATGTTCTAATTTCTAAATGGCTTGCAGCAATTTGAAGGTTAAACATTTAAATTCGATTAACTTAAATAAATATTGTTTAACCCGGATGCTAATCGCCAGTACATCATTTATTTTCTCTCAGACCCACGCGCAACATAGATAAAATGCTTTCGTCTAAAATCGTTTTTTATGATTTTTAAGTAACCCTAGAGTAAAATTACCTATTACAAAAATTATATTACGTCATCGGTTTTATATTTTAGATTCTGAGCGGATCGATGAATGTATTGATTGTACAATGATGGGTGACTTTTTTTTGTGTCTGTCAACACGTTTTGGAACAGTAAAAATGTTTCAATTTTTTTCAACGGACTTTTTTTGATAGGGAAGTATAAATCTAGTTGGTACTTTAGGGGATCAAAATTAAAAAAATTCAATAGTTTTCGAATGCGTCAAGTAAAACAAGCAAAAAATTAAGAAAAAACTGAGATTTTTACGCAAAACTAATTATTGAAAAATTGATTTGTTCTTTTGGTGTAACCTATACATATAATTCCCACCAAAATAAAAAATCTATAACTAATAATTATATTTTATTTTATTTCACATTTTGTTAGTAAATTTTGTAGCCATGTAAGTACATTTCATAATAACAAACTTAGAGGTACATAATCATTTCACTAAATAGCTCCTAAGCTTAAATTGGTGAGGTATTTACTATCTTATAATTATTATTAACATAGTTTATATACTGACAGCTTGTAGAAATACAAAATGTAGGTATACAATTTCAATTTATTTAAATAGGTATATTTCTTTATTTGAAATTAATCCAATTATGAATAACAAAAATAGTTTCTGACATTGCTGCTCATTTATTAGGTGAATAAACATTAAAAAAATCTTGTGATGAATTTGTTGATGTTTTATAAAATAAAAACTTAAAATTTATCTATTTTTCAAAATATGCAAAAATAAGATAATTTAAAATGTTGTTTCGATTCATAAGTAATTACAATTAAATATATGACAATTTTATTTTTAACTTCAAATATACCCATACATTTATGATCAAATGAGGCCATTCCCACGCCAACTGTTAATTTGAACATATATTTTTTGGTGATTTCTCGTTAGTCAATTTTAATATATTGTTTTAATATTTTAAGATTGAATTAAAGATTTTATTTTGTTCATAACATTAACAACAGAATAAAAACTCATATATTTAGGAGGTCAGAACCCAAATACCATTAAGTTTCATTTTTAAATAAAACAATGAAGTATACAATTTTCCATATTTGTATCCATCGATATAACCTATCTACCTTAGTCATCATAGCCTCGACATAAATCTCATGCTGAAACAGTCACTTCTGAAACTTCTCCACTAGAAATCGTCTCAACTATGATATCACAATTTATTTCTTATTTAAATTCCGTAATTGGTCCATTAATTTCCCTCCTAACAGAGGTTTTACGCAAACGTTTATCTCGGTAGCTAATATTTCACTC